GGGGATGGTGGAGGACAGGAAGGCCTGGAGGAATGTTGTCCATGGGGTTGCAATGGGTTGGACACGACTTCGCAACTAACAACAGCAGCAACATAAAGTGATTAAAACTGAAATCCCAAGATTAGCCTTTTCAACTTTATCATTGCAGAAATGAAATATTTGAATTGCCTGAGTGAGAAAGTGGGGGCCACCCATGACTTTAGCACCTTGATCCTATGCATGCTATACCCTTACTCCTTAATAAGATTTCCTACAAAATCCTGAAGATAGCCCTATCTAGTCTTCAGTATTTGTTTACAATATTTCTAGGCTACCTTTCTAGGCTGCAGGAGCAATGTACCATGATAAAATGTATTCAGTAAAACTGATGCAGTAATATAAATGGGAAACCTTTCAAAGGTTGTGGCTGCTGATACAAGCAGGGCTGCATACCCATGTGACACTGATATCTTCAGTGTCTTCATTGGTTACCAGTTGAGCTCCTGGCCCAATTCACGGTGCTAGTTTTAACATATAAAGCCCTGAATGGCTTGGTACCTGGCTTCCCAAAGGACTGCCTGCTCCCATATGTACCTCTCCAACCCCTAAGATTTGCTTCAGAGGCCCTTGTACAGCCTTCCAAAAGCAGTTTGCCTGGCGCCTTCTCTATAGTCTTTTTGGCGCTAGGCAAAAACAGTTTTATTCTCTAGGCATTTTAATAATTGACTTTATTTGGATAATTTTGAGCTGTATTAATAGAAATAGTTTTAAATTAAAGTGCTCTTAGTTGTGCACTGTTTTGTTTTATTGTTGTCTCTTGTCAGTATATGATTTATAGATTGTAATCTCCTTAGAGGGCCTTTGGGCTGATTCAGCAGATAAGTCCAACAATAAATAAATAAAAGAACCCCAAACCCTCCACATAAGACAAAACCTACAACAAATTCAGATGCAACCCAGAACTGTCCCATGAAGCATAATAAGGAGGAGGCCACAGTAGAGAAGTCTTCAGTGCCTTTTTAAAAGTCTGCATTGATAGGTCCTGTCAAGCCCCTGATATCAATGTCAGAGGCAGCATGCCTATGTACTGCAGTTACGGCTGCAGTCATATATTGCTGGTGGTTTCCCATGGGCAATTGTCTGGCAACTGCTTGATCAGAATGCTGGACTAGATGGACCACTGGTCTGGTCCAGCATCATATATCCTTACATAATCCATTCCTAAACTGTGCAGACGGTGTGGAAACGCTTCCCCCTTGAATACTTGTCCACCTAACTACCTTCATAAGTGGGCCAATGTTGCTGATCTTGAAGTGCTGACATGGCTGAAGGGATCCTTCCAGGAATTTTGCTCCAAACTGTTTCAGGATTTAAAGGTCAAAACTTGCACTTTAAATTGGCTCAGAAATACCCCAGTTGGCACAGTGTAGGCATTCTGTGATCGATTGCTTTGGCCTCACCAGCACTCAGGTGGCTACATTCTGCATCAGCTGAAATTTCTGGACTGTCTTCAGAGAGAGTCATTGTAGCACATCCTAGTAGCACTCCTTAACATTTCCATTCTGAAAGGTTGGTATTATTGTTGTTGGCCACCCAGATGTGGATATTGCCAGCTGGGTCATTGTTCCTTTTCTCAAGAGCCTGTGTCCTGGCCAGATGGCAAGAAATGACACACTCATCCTTGGATATCTAGATCTCAAGTTAGGAGGCAAGCAATTCAAATTTCAAGTGTTCATGTAAAATAAAGTGAATTACATATTAATCTGACTAATCCATGCTTTATATATATATATTCTGACACATTATTATTATTTCCCCTTTTCTAGGATGAATATTACCATTTGTTGGCAGAGAAAATCTATAAAATACAAAAGGAACTAGAGGAAAAACGCAGGTCTCGTTTACATAAACAAGGAATCTTGGGTAATCAGTCAGCCTTGCAGGCCCCCGGGACTCAGCCTCCTGGCATTCCACAGGTGGCAGCAACCATGGGACAACCACAGCCTGTGAGACCTCCTAGTAAGTGCTTAACTAAAGGAGCAGACAAATGGAGTAAGAAAGTACTTTGTTGTCTTTTGTATTTATTTCCTACCTTTCAGCCTTTCATAATTCACACAGAGTAGTTTATAATAAAAAGAAAATATGAAAGCATAAAAATAAAGCAACAGGAAGATCACTGTTTTTTTTCTTTTTGAATTACCACATTTAATGAGTTAAAACATGCTGGAATCATTCTGCAGTTCCGAATGTACTCTTGAGACAAAAATATTATCACCGTCTAAAAGTCTAAAGAGATCACATCTTCTGTGCCTCCCTCAGAAAGGAATTTGCCACAAATGAGAAGTCCTCACTCCCCACGGAGGGATATCTAATTTGTCTGAAGGATGATATCTAGCGGAGGGCTTCTCCACATGATTTCAGACTCTGAAAGTCATACAGGTGATGTTCCTTAAAAGATCTTGAGGTCAGGCTTTAAAGTGCAACATCAGCACTTTTGCAGTAACCCAGAAACAAACTGGTAGTTATTAAAGTTCTTCATAGTCTCTATGTGTCACACATACAGGCTCTACTCCTACACAGAGTCTCCATCAAAAGTTTCTAAAGCTTGGACGTTTAAGCAGGAGATCCTGCCTACCTACCCTCTCTCATATGTCTAGAGGGCAGTATTCCCATCTTTTCCCTCCATTTCTCTTTGCTTGCTGCAGTAGCATTGTTGAGAGCATTTGCTATGATTGAGCTGTGTCTCTCTCCTTTTTAAAATTATTTGTATTCTTACTGCTCTTTGTCTTTTCTTCTCCCTTTCAAACATTTTCTACTATTTTTCTTCAGCATGATTTGCCATGTAGGTGGTGTTTCTCAGCAGTCTATGGTCCTTCAGGACCCCATTCCATAAATATTGTGGGAACAAATTGCCCCCAGCTGATGGCAACAACGCTGTCTCATGTTTGGGCAAGAACCACATGATAGAATCCTGTGCTCATTGTGAAGGATCTACAGGCAAAGAGGAACTGTTCTTCATGCCTTTGAGCATTACACTGGGAATGAGCCCCCGAGGCAGATTCTGTAAAGCAATCAGAAGCAGCTCCACTTTCAATTTGCACAAGACTGTCTCCTAAAATTGCCTTGGATATCTTGTACAGGTTGCAGAAACCATGTACAGGTTGTTACTCTCATTTGCTGCCTCTTTCTTGGGACAGAGCATCTCCATGTAGAAGTGTCCTTACCAGAGTGACCCTGGTACTTTAAGCCCTGTCCCCTCCAGGAGGAGAAAGAAGAGAGTTGCTGCAATCCAAGAAATCTCTGAAACCTAGATCAATAGTGTTGTCTGTACTTGTAATAGTTTCTGTAGAATCACACAATCATAGAATAGTAGAGCTGGAAGGGGCCAGAGGGCCATCAGGTTCAACCCCCTCCTCAGTGCAGGATTCCAAGTTAAACCGTCCCTCTCAGATGACTGTCCAGTCGCATCCTGGATGCCTCTAGTGTGGGAGAGCCCACAGCCTCTCTGGGTAATTGATTCCATTGTCATGCTGCTCTAACAGTCAGAAAGTTCTTCCTGATGTTCAGGTGGATCCTCTCTTCATGTAACCTGAGGCTGTTATTCCGTGTCTTGCATTCCAGGATGATTGAGAAGAGATCCTTTCCTTCCTTTTTGTGACAACTTGAAGATTGCAATCATATCTCCCCACAGTCTTCTCAAGGCTAAACATGCCCAGTCTTTTCCATCTCTCCTTATAGGGCTTGGTTTCCAGTCCCTGGATCATCCTTGTTGCCCTCCTCTGAACCCCTTTCTAGCTTGTCTGCATCTTTCTTAAGAACTAGGTGCAGTACTCCAGATGAGGACTGGAGTAAAGGAAACTAGTACTTCACATAAGTTGGCAGTGATACTTCTATCAGTGTAGTTTCAAATAGCATTTGTCTTTTTTGCAGCCACATCACATTGATGACTCTTATTCAGCTTGTGATCTAGGGCAATTCCAAGATCCTGCTCATTTGCAGTATTGTTGAGCCAAGTATTTCCCATCTTGTAACAATGTGTTTGATTTCTTTTTTCTTAGTGCAGAACTTTGCATTTGTCCCTATTGAATTTCATTCTGTTGTTTTCAGCTCAGTGTTCCAACCTGTCCAGATCACCTTGAACCTTCTTGCTGTCTTCCAGGTTATTAGCTGTCCCACCCAATTTTGTGTCATCATTGCGTGCACGTCTTCATCCAAATTATTAATAAAAATGTTGAAGAGCACTGGTCCCAATTGTTACCTTTCCTCAGCCTGAGAAGGTGCCATTGATGAGCACTCTGAGTCTGAATCTGTAGCCAACTGTTGATCCACCTGATAGTTGTTCCATCTAGCCCACTTTTAGCTAATTAGCTAATCAGGTGATTGTGAGGCATTCTGTCTAGTGCTTTGCTGAAGTCAAGATAGATGGTGTCTAGAGCACTCCCAGTGAAAGTTCTTGGTCTGGAATGGGTTTAAAGAGCAAAGATTCCTTTGCCTTAGTACAGTGGTTATCAGTTTGGGTTTCTAAAGCTGTTGAACTTTATTATGCTCTGTCCCACCTCCCAGTACCCAATTTACTATCGGTGCATACCCTCTTCCATTGCAATTTCCAGGGATATTTCTTTTCAGGATTTATGAATGGCTACTACTTAGTCCCATGGCCTATGGTAGTCACAGTAGTCATTAAATGCTGCTGCTTTGACATAAGGTGAGGAAGTGACTTCTTCCAGATGGGCAAGGCTTGCATCTCTTTTGACTTGACCACTTGTTGCCTCCACTTGCCACAAATCACCACTATATGTGCTGTGCAGAGATCATGAATGAGGAGGATGGGTTGCTTGGCCGCAACTATAGTTCTTTCAGTGTATATCTGTGCAATGACACCACCTGCCATCCTACTTTGCAATGGGTGTTTTGGTTTTTCTTTCACCATTCTTCTCACTTTGAAGCTGTTGCTGTAGCACTCACAGAGAAAGGCAGGAACATCACTCTCTAGGCATGCACAGGATGGGTAGGGCAGGCTTCCTACTTTCAGAAAGCCCCAGTGGAGTTTCTTTAGAGGTCCAGAGCCCATGTATGTGTGACTGCACAGGAGAACCAGTTACAAGTAAGCAACTTGTCCTTTCTGTACAGTACCTTTTCAGTAGGTTAAAAGGGTTTGAATCTGTGGATCAGTTAAAGGCTAATCACACTTTTGTTCTTTTACAGATGGACCGATGTCCATGCCAAATGTGCCTATGAGCCGCATACAGGTTTCTCAAGGTATTCAGTACCCATTAACTTTCTCCCTTTCTCAGCCTTTCTGTTTGTGAGTCTCATGTTTCAGGTGTGAGAGTTTATCCTTCCACTTTGGTACCACACTTTCTTTCAAGCTTTTGTACCAAGTGAATGTGTAGAGAACAAGTCACTTTTTTGCACAATGGTTTTAAATGCTGTGTCGAGACTGCTTTGAAAGTTAAAGTAGGCAGAAATCAGTCTGCTCCTGATGCCATAACAACTGGGAGCCCTATGTGTAGATCCCCTTTTTCTTCTTTTCCACCCTCTCCCACTCCACAAGATGCCAATAGACAATTCGTGACAATGAGACAAAATAGACAATTCTTTAGCAAAAGTTATTTTCAATGTACATCTAGCAAGCTATTAGCCAAGAAAGGAAGTCTCTGAACAAACACAGAACAGTTTGTTGAACCCAAACTAGAGGCTATTTCCAAGAACCCTCCTTTTCAGTAACCCTGGACCACACCCCTCTGGGTATGCCCCTGTGGAGATGGGCAAGCCCCCTAGATCTAATGCAGCCCCTCTCCCGATGCTGTGTTGTGGGATCAAAGATTGGACCAGGTTCTTCTGGCTCCTCTTCCATGTCCCCCTTCAATTCTAAATCCTGTTGGTTCCCAGTCTGCCTGAACACCTAGCGATGGCAGCCATGAGTTAAACTCTTCCTCCTCTGCCATCTCTTTGTCTACAGACCTCATTTCCCAGGACTCATTCTCCTCTTCTGAAGAGTTGCTGCCACCCTGGTCCTGGAAAGTATGCCAAGAATAACTGTCTTGTTCATTCCCAACCCAATTTGACTTACTGTCCCTGAAAGTAGAAAGCTTTGCCAGAGAGGAAACAGAAAATGTTAAATTAATTTGAGATCCAAGCATATCCTATATGCCTTTCTGTAATTTCTGTTGATAATAAAGGCAGTGAAGGCAGAGAGCAGCCAAGGACATTTGCTGATGCCCAGCACATCAGTATAGCCATGTCAACTTTGTATGATCCTCTAACATCTGGAACGGGGCTGAGTGCTGAAGTAACTGTTGGTCCTAGAGTTGTTCCCGTAGGCTGGATTTGGAGCCAGGGCTGCATGGGTCCAGGCCTAGCAATCCCCAATCCCTACTATAGAGCCTTCCTCTGTAAACACATTTGTTTCTGCTGATGCAGGAAGTACTGACCCTGACCAGACACCTTGGTGCCAAGTATTAGCCAGTGGACTTTATGTTCCAGGGTTAAAGAATGTATATGATTAGGTCTGAACATGCATAGCTGTCAAGAGCTGGGTTTCTCCCTTTATCCCTTTCAAACAACAGGCAGTCTCTTTGCTTAAGAGCTCTTTGTTTCCAGTATATAGCTAGCAAACTATAGCCACTGGAAAATGGGTCTCTGTGCATGAACAGAGTGATTTCTTGAATCCACACTAAAAACTGTTTCACAGAATCCTTCTTTTCAGTAACTCTGGGCTCCACCCCCCTGGGTGTGCCTCTTTGAACAAGGGCTATCCTCCTAGGTCTGTGCAAACCCTATAACTGGGTAACTCTTCTCTCCTGATGCCATGTCATGGGGTCAGGGGCCTGACCAGGCTCCTCCTCTTCCATGTTCCCCCTCTGCACTTCCAAACCCTGTGTGTTTCCAAGGTCTGCCTGAACACCTGCGAATGGCAGCCTTGAGATAACCCTGCTGCCATCTCTGTGTCCATACGCCTTGTTTCCTGTCCCTCACAGTCCTCATCTGAAGAGCCAGGGCCACCGTAGCCCTGGGAAGCATGTCAGGAATAACTGCTTTTTTATTCCCAACATTTATTTATTCCCTCTTATAGGGGACTCCACTGAGAGATACTTGAATCATAGCTGCAGGTAATTCTTGTTTTCTGCCAGCCATGCACAGTGTCTGCTACCTTTGAATAATGAGAGGAAGACAGGACAGCAAATTCCACTTAGAAAGCAGAATAGTATAATGTGGGTCAGGAGATTGGAAGTCCTAGGGAAAGAAAGTTTTGCGCCTTCAGTTCCTCTGTAAAGTTTTGCCAGGTGTTTTTTGGTTTCATCAAGTTTGCTTCACGATTTGCCATTTAACTATAATTTTTATTTAGGACAAGGGTAAAATGTTCTAGTACTTTTCTTCGCCATATCACTTGCTCTGTTACACTGTGTGGGTCAGGTTTTACTGTCATTGAGGTTTGAATTTTTACAGAAACTGGTGGATTGAGCAGTTTGCCAATCATTGCATGGGTGAGTTGCTCCTAATGAGCTGTTCTGGGGGTCCATTTTGCAGGAGTGAATCAGTTTAACCCCCTGTCCATAGGGAACGTCCAAATGCCTCAGGCATCTCTAGGACCTCGTGCTGCTTCTCCAATGAACCATGCCGTCCAGATGAGTAACATGAGCTCCGTTTCAACGGTTTGTATCTTTCTCTCCTCCACTCCCCTCCCCTCCTAGTTGTTTAAAGCTCAGTCTTTAGGATACTTTAAAGAAATACATTCTGATGATGGTCATCTTGCCTCTTGTCCAGTAATGCTAAAATCTGAATTTTGGCTTAATTCAATTATTTTGAAGTCCTGTCTTCATTTGCTATGTCAGGGCAGTTTTTAATTCCTGAGAAATATATTCAGTAATCCAATATCTTAAACGATCTCAAAGGAATTATGGAGGAAAAAGGCAGGATATAAATAAAATTAATAAATAAAACTTTGGGAAGGGGGCTGCTTCACACACATGAAAGAAAGCGAGAGTAGGACAGCATACTTTAATGCATGGAATGTAAAGTATTTTAAGAGCTTACTGCAAAGCTCACTTGGTCCAACAAAAACTTGTGGTGATATTTATATATATATAATGTACACTCTTCCTACCTTTTTAAATCGATACTTCTTGCACCTAAAGCTAGTGGTTCAGACTCCTAAAGTTGATGGACTGCTTTGTTTTCTAGATGGCTCTCTCTCCTTCCCGGATGCCTCAGTCACAGAATATGATAGGAGCTCATTCCAACAATTTGATGGGTCAGGCCTCTACCCAAAATCAGTTCCTGCCTCAGAATCCATTTCCTGCCTCCAGCGGAACTCTGAATGTCAGCAGTGTAGCCCTAGGGCAATCAACAGCCCAGCCAGGAGTATCACAGGTATGACTTGTAAATCCAGAGGAACTTCAGATATTTGGTGACTGCCTCATCTTACTCGTTGTTGATACAATGTAGAATTCTAGGATTAGTTGGAATGGCAGAGAACATTGCCGGTTGTAATAAGCCTGGATCCTGGTGCTCTGATAGCCCCGTCACTTCCCTGAATGTCAGAGCCAAGGCCCTGCATTGCTTTCCTTTTCTTGAATGTACTCTCACATACAGAAGAGCCACAACAGCACAAATCAGTAAGCGGCCATAGCAGCCCTGTTGAAGGAGAGTGTCTGCTTGGCCTGTGCAGTACCTTTAGTGACCGCTGTTGGAGAGCCCAGTGGACAAGTAGACTCTCATTGCTTCTGGATTGTTCATTCAGTACTCTCACGCAATTCTAAGCCTAAACCCAGTGACACTGTCACTTACTGTCACTCACATGGACTTCGCTTTTTTGGGAAGCAGAGTAAAATAATGATGGAGGTTTTGCATTGAAGATTTCTCTTCACTTAGTTAATAATTGCTGCATCAACATCTGAAGTGTTAGATTCCCATAATGCAGTGCGTTGCAGAACTATGCACACATATCCTTTGACTTGCCCACGTCTTACTGTGTTACAACCTGGAACTGAAATGTAGACTCGATGTAGACAAAATACTCAACACTGTAAAATTGTAGATTTTTAAAAAATTTTGTCACAAAAGTTAAGTAAATACCCAAACTGGCAAGTGTTGGTTTGCTGTGACATGCCTAAATAAGCTCTGGTGCTACCCACTGCATCCAAAAGTCACAACAAGTTCAATATCATAAACCTGTGTGTAGTTCCAGTGCCACGTGATCTCCGATTAAAGGCAGCTGTTTCTGGAAGGCCCCAGAGTTTGTTGGCGAGCATATCTCAATGAACAGCATCAAAACAACTCCAGGAGAAAGTCATGCAGAAGCACCAATTAGAGTTGGGTTACTCCCCAAAAAATCCACAAAGTGAATACCACCAGAGCACAATTAAATCTATTATTGCAAAATGGAAAAAATAGAGAAGGGTGTCCACCAGAGTTGACTGGGTAGCGATGGCATAAGCCACAGAAACAACCAATAGGGCAATGGAAGTTCTGAAGGAGCTAGAGAAAACTGCAGCAGAGGTGAGAGAAACCACCCATGGGACAACTATCATATGGCTGTTCAACAAAGCTAGGCTTTTTAAAAGAGTGGTGGGAAGAAAGTAATTGCTGAAAGAAACCCATATCACAAACATGCATATGTGAGAGACAGGAAGAATATGGGAGAGTGTTCTCTGTTCAGGTAAGACCAAAATTGAACTTTTCAGCCTTGTTGTAAAACAGCATGTTTGGCTCAAAACCCACAATGCATGCTTCTGAGAATACCATCCCTGCAGTGAAGAATGGTGGCAGCAGCATCATGTTGTGGTTATGCTTGCTTTGGCAGTGCCTGGAAACCTGGCCAGGATGGTCAGACAGCTAGCCATAGAGTGTGGCTGAGAGCTGCTCCAGTCTGGCACAGCTGCCAGAGGCATCTGTGCTCTTCCCACTTCCTGCCCTAGAATCAGAGGCGAACTGATTACGTGGTTGGCAGTGTCCCCTTATGCATGCCTGAGAGGAAGCCTCTCACATCTGAGTGGGAGGGGGAAGAGCAGCTGGGTGACTGTGCCCCCAACTAGGACAGCCCTCCCTCCCACTTAGTGCTCAGAAGAAAAACTCCCACAGCAAATGGAACTTGGCTTGCAATCATAGCTGTACAGAGAGGAACTTCTTTCCCGCATGATATCCCCGGAATACATCCAGAGGAATGGCCGTGAAGGAGGCAGGGGAGAGGAGAGCAACTGTGGTGTGCCCAGTCATCTGTTGGACTTACCATGCCTGTTGGCATTTCATGGGAATTTTTAATTCCAGCAAATTAGAAAGCACATGGCTGGATGAATATGTTTACATGTTTGCCATGATGGATTCCAGTGGTTTTTTAAGGAGGAATCCCTGGAAATACTTGTTCAGCCAATAGAACTTGGACCCTCCTTGGACTGCAGTATTTCAGACCTGCAAGTAGCTGGAAGTAGAGGAGCAGCAAAAAAACCCCCGTCTGAGTGGAATATCATTGCAGTGAGTAGTTTAGCAAACAGGGAGAAGCTCTTGGGGTTTTCCTGTACACAGACTTGATGAGTTTATGAATGTCATGTCAGTAATATTTTTTCTTAGCAGGGGCAAGTTCCTGGTGCTCTTCCTAACCCCGTGAATCTACTAGGACCACAAACCAGCCAGCTCTCCTGTCCTCCAGTGACCCAGCCTGCCCTTCATCAACCTGCACCGCCTTTATCCACTCCAGCTGGCATGCCTCCTGTTCAGCACCAGACCCCACCAGGTGTGACGCCTCCACAACCAGCTGTGCCTGCCCAGCCATCCACCCCTGTCTCCTCTTCAGGACAAGTGCCCGCTCCAGCAGCTGGCACAGTTCCAAATGCTGGCATGCAGATGCAGAGCACACCTTTGGGGCAAGTGGCTGTAGCACAGGCTCACATTACACCACAGCAGCCGCAGACCCCAGGACAGCCCCCGTCTGTGCCAACCCCACAACCAGCTCAGCAGCAGCCAATGTCAGCTCAGGCCCCAGGCACTCCAGTAAGTATTTGGCGTGTTTGCATTACTGAGCCTAAATCTAAACACAACTTGGTCTGGCCACAAGCAAACATTCCTCTTAAAATACAGGCTGAGTGGGCCAGAAACTCCATTATTTTGGCCAGAAACAGATTGCTGAGGTCTTGCTCCCAGTCTGAAGCCCTGCTTCGTTGGGAGTGGATGAGGGATCCCAGCTCCATCCTTTAGATGCTTCCAGTCATCTAAAGTGCGTTTTAGTAGTGGTTCTTAAGGTTTTTTTCTCATTGGAAACCTTCCCTCCATGTAGCCTCTTAGGCCACCTTCGCCCCAGTCGTACAAAAGCCAGTTGGGCAGGTAAAGCAGCAGCAAAGCACTCCCTGTCACGAGCCAGGTGGGCTTTCTGTCTGTGAATGAGTGTGGGTGCAAGACTGAAGGAAGGCGGCCCTGATTGCTTTCCAAAGCAGCTTCCCTACCCCGACTAGGAAAGATATTTGAGGTGCTTTGACAAGCCAGCCAGCCTGCCTGTGCGGGAGGCTGCTCTCTTTTGAGTAGTGCAATTTGTATTGCTTGGATAATTGCTGTCTGAACAACCAAGACTGCTCTTTTGGCTTATGGTGCCTTGTTTCTCAATATGCTAACTTGGGGTTTATTATCCATCATATAAATCTTTCTGCATTAACTGCAGTCACCTGCCGTCTTTTATTTAGGAGTGTGGAAGGCCTTGATCTAGCTTGTTTGCTTTTGTACCAATGCTTTGTCCCAGGTAGTATGCTCCAAAATATTTTTTGCATTAATTGCAATATCTCAACAGTCTTCAAAGGCAATCCCACAGACAGTACATTACAGAAGTGCAACCTTTGTCACTAGGGCATGCATAACTGAGGGTAGGATATCATTCAGTATGTCTTCTTAGTTTTATTGTGATTTATAATCACAGTGACCAAAAGAGAAAAGTCTTTACCTGCCATCTAATGTACACAGTGAAGAATCCAGGCAGATCTGGGGTAGGGCATAAGAACACTGGAACTTTTCCTGATGTTAAGCACCAGCTATTAGAGACTGTGGGTTCTTCAAATGTTGTGGGATAACCAAATTAATTGCCCAGTGGCACACTAGGCACCATTTGCCATACAGTAGTGCTTTCATTGTCCAGGTGATCTCTTATTTCTAGAGATTGGACCTGCTTCTCCCAAAATGCAGCATTCCAAGCTAGAGATTTTAGTCCCTGAATCTGAAGTCAAAAAGAGGGCAGGTCAGAAAGCATAGTTGAATGCCAAGGTTAGCAGGCTCTGAGTTTAGCTGAGCAGCTGATGACAGCCAGACCACCACTGTTTCATGGGGAGACACTGCAGAACAGGGAAAGTCCGAGGGGGAAGAGTGTGAGATTATCAGCCCAGCGGTTTGTCATCAAGTCTAACAAGTGTAATGTAAATTAAGCAATGTCTGGCATTCTTGTCATCTGTCCCGCAAGCAGCATGATCCCCTCTGAGGGGAGAATCGGTTTAGTCTGGAGGAAGGGATGAAGGGAATTCAGTGTGGAATCAACTTTTGACATGGGCAAGAACTAACTACAAATTAGAGGAATGATCAACTTGCTAGATGTTTCTTGTTAATTATTTTTATATCACCAACTCTGTATTACAGAGCAAACCTCAGCTGGCCAGCCTAACTCAGTTAAGGACTGTAGTGAGAAACCTTTCCCCTTGCTCTGCTGGGAAGGGAAAGGGGGAGAGACATATTCACAGCATGACCCCATCTTTAGTTCACAAGTTCTTTGTCAGAATTTAAGGTCACTTCTTGTGCCTTCATTCCCTTCTTTGTTTCTTGTCAGCTCTCCCAGGCAGCGGCAGCAAGCATGGACAACAGAGTGCCTACTCCAGGTTCTGCTGCCAGTGCTGATACCAGTGTGCACCAACTTGCACATGAGGCACAGATGCAAGAGAACAAGCCAGAGGTTAAGACTGAAAAAGCTGAATCAGAATGTGGAGATACTCAAATGGAGCCAAAGCCTGAGGTAACTGACAATTTAGTTATAAACCTTGACAGAACATGAGATCATTTCCTTTGCTTAGCTGGAAGCTTAATGATCCTGCTGGTTTTCAGTGGAGGCGAATATTGATCTTTACCTTGTGCCTTTCAGCTAGAGGAGGACATCCCAGGACCTACACAAACCAAAGAAGACACTAATGGCATAGAGAGCAAGCAGGAACTGATGGAAATAGAAGGGAAGAAACCTGAGATCAAAGAGGATGATGACAGTGGTAGTAATGGTGCCACTTCTCAATCAACTTCACCATCTCAGCCACGGAAAAAGAGTAAGTACTTGGATTCAGACACCTGCTGCTTTTTGGCCCTCCATTTTAAGTTGGTGTCTGTGTTTCCAGGTCAAAGTAGAAGTTAAGTAGAAGCTAAGAAGTTCTCTTGGTCAGTCCAGCCAAAGCTTAATGTGTTTCACTAGGCCATTACCTGTAGCAGGCAGGCAGCTAGTTGTCCTGGAAGGTTCACAAGCAGGGTGTGCTGGGTCACTGTCCTTTCTGAGTTTGTCTTTCCCTTCTTAAAGCCATCTTAGTGAGTGGCCTTTAACACATTTTGTCTTGAATTCCAGTAGTTAGTTATGAATGAAGAGAAAATACTTGATTGTTTCAAGAATAATATAACTGTGGATGAAATCTCCTGTGTGAGTTAATTGCATTAACCAATCTGAAAACTTTTCACAGTCTTTAAGCCTGAAGAGCTGCGCCAGGCACTCATGCCCACCCTGGAAGCTTTGTATCGCCAGGACCCTGAATCTCTGCCTTTCAGGCAGCCTGTGGACCCTCAGCTGCTGGGCATTCCGGTGAGTGAGATGAGACAAGACTTGCTCATTTCCCGTGACTGCTTTGTTGTTGTAATTCCAGATAACCTAGAAAATAGTACTACAGGTATGAAAACAAAAACCAACAAGAAGCAATGGTTCAAGACACGGCGCTACTCTAGGTCTTATTCTGTTGGAAAGACAGTGGCCTGCACTGACAGAAAGAGAAACTTAGATAGTGCAGTTGCTCTCAGGACACAACTTGGTGCCAAGATCATTTTTTTGAAATCTGTCTTAGAATTTTCCTCCTAAGGGTGTCTTTCATTTTAAACAATAAAAGGATTTTTAAACACCTTAACAGTTCAAAACTACCCTACCATATTTGAGGTAAGTTTGATATCAACTTTGGGACTACTTTGTTCCTTTTATGTCCAAAATATTGGCTGCTGGGTAGAAGCCTGGGCACATGGTGCATCCAGGAGGAAGCAGGCTTCTGAGAAAAAGAGCCTGGCTGCAGAATGTGTGGGGAAGTGCTGCCCTTTTTCTCCAAAAGCCAATCACTTGGATTTTATCAAGAAAGTGTTCTTTGGTAGCTCAGTAGTGAAGCCTTTCAGCATGAATGACACCAAGGAACTTATTTGCCAGTGCTCACAGACCCACCTTATCTTGTTAGCACTCAATAGACTTTAAACAGCCTCCATCTAAACTTTTGTTAAAACACTTGTATCTTACTTCAACTAATTTAATTTATGGGACAAACACACCTTTTAGTCAAGGATTCAAGCCATTCCTGATTACTTCCGAACCCAAAGCCTGGGAAAAAGAGTATTACTAAGGAAAGTCAAGCATTCTTCTTGGAAAGAGATGGCCTGTTGTAACGCGGTTTCCTGCATTTGTCTTCTCCCCGCACAGAGCAAAAAGTAGCTGCACTGAAGCTAAAGAGTCTGGCAGTTGCCATTGATCCTGGTGTACATATTTCTTTCTTCTGCCTAGGAGGGATGCAGAGTAACAGAAGAGCATTATAACATGCAACATTTCTTCACAGTTGCTGGGTAGAGGTCAGGATGGGAGGCAGAAGGACCATCCATGGTCCTTAGATGACCTACCCAGGTGCCATCAGTCTCATAAAAGTGATGAAATATGGGTGCAGAACATAAGTAAAAGAAAGCTTACACCTTCTTTGTCTATAGCCATGTTGGTTCCATGGATAGGCTGGGGAAAACTCCTTGGGGTTCCAGTGTAGTTTTATCTGCAGAATGTTTGGGGAAGGCTGCTTCAAGTCAGTTAACTTCCTAGAGAGCTTTGACTACAGGGCAGTATAGAAATGTACTAGATAATAATACTATCTCTGCCTTTCTTCCTAACAAGCTGAAGGTCATAGAATCCTAAACTAGATTTGGAAGGGGCCAGAAGGCCATTGGGTCCAAGCCCCTGCTGTTGCAGGACACTAAGTTCCACCATCCCATTTAGATGAGTGCCCAAATGCTTTTTGAATGTCTCCAGCGAGGAAGAGCACACAGCTTCCCCAGGTAATAGGTTCCATTGTTGTACTGCTCTGACAGGAAACCTGGTGTCCAGTCTAAATCTGGTTTCTTTTAGCTTAAGAGTATTATTCTGTGTCCTGCACTTGGAATGAATGAAAAGCGATCTTGTCCTTCCTATTTGTGACAGCCCTTGAGGTACTTTTGTAGTGCTATCATATCAATCTTCTCTTCTTGAGACTGAACATGCCCAGTTTTCTCAATCTTTCCTCATAGGGCTTTGCCTCGAATCCCTGAATCATCCTTGCTGTCCTCTTCTGTACTCCTTCTAGCTTGTCCACATCTTTTTAAAATTTAGGTGCCCAGAACTGGACACAATAGTCCAGGTAAGGTCTGACTAGTGCTGATTAGAGTGGAACTAGCACTTCACATGTTTGGGAAGTGATGCTTCTGTTCATGCAGCGCAAAGTAGCATTTGCTGTTTTTGCAGCTGCATGACATTGTTGGCTCATATTTAGCTTGTGATCTACCACAACCCCAAGAACCTTCTCATTTGCAGTATGGTTGAGCCAAATATTCCCCATCTTGTAGTGGTAAATTTGGTTTGTTCTTCTAAGTGGAGGAGTTGGCATTTGTCCCTATTGAATTTCAATCTGTTCTTCTCTGCTCAGTGTTCTAACTGATCAAGTTAACCTTGTATCTTATCTCTGTCTTCCAGAGTATTTGCTATTCCATGCAGCTTTGTTCATCTGCAAACTTAATTCTTTCCTTGTACTTCATCATCCAAATCATTAATAAAAATGTTGAAGAGCCCTGGTTGCAGGACTGATCCCTGCAGCACCCCACTTGTCACCTCTCCCCAGTTTGAGAATGTACCATTGATGAGCACTCTTTGAGTCCGATTTTACAGCCAACTGTGGATCCACCTAATGGTTGCACTATCTAGCACGCTTCTTGCTAACTTGGTCAATAAGATGTTGTGGGACACTTTGTTGAAGGCTAGTTATTGCTAAAGGCTAGTTAGATTATGTCCGCAGTCCTCTCACAGTCCATTTGGGAGGTTACCCATTCAAAAAATGAAATTAGATTCGTGTGGCAGGATTTGTTCTTGAGAAATCCATGTTGGCTTCTAGTAATTACTGCATTGTCTTCAAAGTATTTGCAGACTGTTTGTTTCGTAATTTGCTCTAGAATTTTTCCAGGGATTGATGTCAAACTAAGGGGTCTGTAGTTCGCAGGTTCATCTTTTTTTCCTTTCTTGTAGATAGGGACAACATTAGCCCTACTCCAGTCATCTGGCACTTCTCCTGTCTTCCATGAATTCTCAAAGATGATAGATAGTGGTTCTGAGAGTTCTTCCACTATCTCTTTTATGACTCTGGGATGAAGTTCATCAGGCCCTGGAGATTTGAACTCATTTAGCCCAATTAGAAGATCCTTGACCATTTGCCTGTCAGTCTTGGGCTGCCATCCTGCCCCTTCAGCTTGTACGACTCCTTCGCCAGGAGGGCTGTAGTTCTTCTTTTGGGAGAAGACTGAGCCAAAGTAGGAGTTGAGCACTTCTGCCTTTTCTTTGCCATCTGTTATCATTGCTCCATCCACGGTGAGTAGTTGAACTCCCTTCTCGTTCCTCTGTCTTTTGCTTTGAAGAAGGCTTTTTTGGCTGTTTTTTGCTCCCCTCACTTGCCTAAGTTCATTCTTCACGTTAGCCTTCCTGACGTCATCCCTGCAGTTCCTTGCTACTTGCTCATATTCTTTCTTTGTAGCCTGGCCTTCCTTCTACCTCTTGTACATGTCCTTTTTTGTTCTCAGATAATTGCTTAGCTTTTTGTGATGCCACATGGGCTTCCTCTGGTGTCTACTACTCTTTTTCCTTGTTGGAATTGTTTGTAATTGTGCCTCAAGCATTTTTTGAGATATTCTACCCTTCGGCTACACATGTTAGGAATCTCTTAAGAGAGATTCACACTCTACTCCCAACAGATATTGGGAAAATTGAAGTCCTCTGTTATGACAGTATCATGCCTCTGAAATACTGGCAATTTGCTTTTCAAAAGTTTTATCTTTTCCTCATCTTGATTGGGTGAACGATAAATGAGTCCAACTACTATGATCCTTTTATTCTTTTTTCCATTTATATTAATCCAGATACGCTCAATGGTCGTACTGGTCACTTCTTCTTGTATTTCTTCACAGAGATGTTTATCTTTAACAGAAAGAGCAACTCCACCTCCTTTTCTGTTACTTCTATTCTTTTTGAACAGGTTATATCCTGCAATTTTTAAACTCCATTCATGGGAGTCTTCCTACCAAGTTTCAGTTATGCCTGTCAGGTCACATTTGCACTCATGTACAAAGAGTTCAAGTTCATGCTGTTGCTTTCCCATACTCTGGACATTGCTATATAGACATCTAAGGGCACATGAATTATTCCCTGGCTTCTTTGCTACATTTTTTGGAAGACTAGTGTTAGGCTCAGCTAGAGTTTCTTTCACTGTTGCAGTACATTGTCAGTTGATGGTGCACCCTCTGTATGTCTTCCTCTCCTATAGAATTCAGTTTAAAGCCCTCCTGATAAACGTCTTCATACTGTGGCCAAGTTCATCCATTCCTTTCTTTGTAAAGTACTGTCCATTGCTTGCCAGCAGTCCATCTTCCAGAAAGCTTATCCCGTGGTTCCAAAGTCCAAATCTCTCATGGCTGCACCAGCATCACAGCCGTTATTATTTTTTCCTCTGTCTTTTCCATGAATTGGAAGGTTTGAGAGGGAAACTTCTGGCTCCCAATGTTCTTAATTTTCCTCCCCAAAGTTTTAAAGTTTGATGTAATTTCCTCAAAGCTCCTGTTGGTGGTGTCATTAGCTCTCATTCCACATGAATGACAAGGAAAGGATGTGCGTCAGTGGGTTCTGTTCAAGTAGGTTGTATGAGCATTGGTAGTCTGTTAATTATATCATTGATCTTTGTTCCAGGGAGGCAGCACACTTGACGATTCCAAGGGTCTTCCCAACATAACATGTTTTTTCATTTCATGGAACAGGAAATCTCTGACAACTATCATTCTTCTCCATTTGTTGTTGCAGACTTTGCTGTCTTTTTCGTTACTTGTTTGACTCATAAGATCAAGGCCATAAGCCTTCAAAAAACAAGAAGGAAGTTCACTACTAGCTGTTGAATCTTAATAATCTTCTAACCATCATTCCATTAGAGCCCATACAACTCCTCCCACTGAAGTCTTCCGGGTAGCCCTTGTTGTTTGCAGCATCTCATCTGGAAGCAACATGTCCTCTCTCTTTTTAGTATATTTTACAATTGTACAATTTTGGCAAAAGAAGGAAAAGACATTTAGTAACATAGATTTTGTTGCAGGCTAGGTTTGGGGTCCCCCCTTTGCACTTTAAAACAACAGACTGTTCTTTGGCAAAAGCTCTTTATTCTCCAGTGCAATTTCCAGTAAGCACAACCAACAAAGAATGAGTTCTGAGCATGCACAGAGTGGTTCATTGAACCCAATCTAGCCACTACTTCCAAGCACCCATGTTTTGAGTACCCATGGGACCCCCTCCTCTGGGATGCCCTTTTTGGAGACAGGCAAGCCTCTTCACTTTCCACTGCCCCTCTATTTAGTTGGTCTATCTCTCCTGACATTGTGTCATGGTGTCAAAAGTCATTCCAGGCTTGGCTAGGTACATGTCCCCTTCCTGCAATTGTAAATCCTGAAGATTCCCATTGTCCACCTGAACATCCAGGGAGGGTGCCCTTGAGATAAGCCCCTCGGCTTCTTCAATTGCAGTGTGTGAGAATTCTGGTTCTCAGGGTTCCTCATCACTTGATGAGTCTGCATCTGCTTGACCTTGGAATGTGTGCCAAGAATAACTGCCCCGTTCCAACAGTTTTGCACTCAATGCCTTCATGTGAAGTGTCTGCAACAGACACATATATATGCACACAGATGTGTGTGAAAGTGCAGGTTTCTAAGTGCTGGGTAGAAACTTCAACAAAAGCGCACCATTTAAGTATCCATTTGTAGGTGGCATCTATACACCATACATTCAAATATTGAAAGCGTTATAAAGTCTACCCTCTATTGCATTACAGAAGGTGAGTATTTATCCTCCCAGTATTGTAATACCAATCTTTAAGGTGTCAGATCACTGTAGAAAATCCATCTGCACTAACTTAGTTTCCAGGAAGTAGGTGCCTAGTTTAAAAGAGCATGAAGATCAGAAAATATTAAGATGCATCCCGATCAATATATGGATATACATATTTCATCCATATAATAACCTCCGCCCAAAAATGGTCAAGTACTGGGCATTTCCCAAACATATACCAAAAAGAAACATAAGCTGTGTTATAACTACAACAATTAGTCAATTAGACAAATCCTTGTTAAAGAGACATCTATTACATCTGAAACATAAGTTTTTGCTGAATAGGTTGCAAGTTGAGCTCCTTTGCTGATGCAACCTGAAATCCATCCATGTCTGTCATAAAAACATTTTCATATCATTTTTAAAATCTGGATTTTCCCACACTGTGATGCTCATGAATTGATTCTTGTCGAGCAGTTACTTTGTAATGTGAGATTTCTGGATCTTTGGGGGAACTGCAAAGACTTACAGCTAATTGTTGGAGTTTCTGCTACTTGTGCTTCACCTCTAGGAAGTCATAGTGTCAATTTAGTCTGAAGAAGTGCATAAAAATCTAATTCCTGTTCCAAAATTAGAGTGCCTGCATGCCCTGAGGCACCACAGCAAAACAAATTAATACATTGATAGTGTTTTTAACATATGTCTGTCTTATTTTAAGGGCACACAATATAAACTTTACCACAGAGAGGGTGACATACCTATCACTGCCAGCCAAAAGATATGGCAGATGGAAATCATGTGAGCAACAACTGAACCTACTCGACCAAGGCAATATAAAACTTGCTTTTACAGAAGAATATAAATGACAATTGAATAGTTAATGTGGTAAAGTTTCAGTCACAGCTCTAGCACAAGGACAGAGTCTCTGGGAGTGACTAATGCCCTCGCAGTGGCCTGCCCATTATGTGAATGGTAAAGCATTTCCTCTAGCCAAGACAAAGAGTTAATGAGTCCATGGAACTGTTAAAAAAAGTAAAATAGCTGGGCAGAACAGGAAAAAGAGGGGCCAAGAAGGCCCAAATGAGGGGAGCTTTATCTCCTGGCATCTAAATTAAATAACCTCCTGATCTAATCTCCTCAATGATTCAAAAGCCTTCTTTCTGATATTAGAGATATCAGCGGGGTAAGACAGATTAAACCCTCAACTCAGCATCTTATCCTCCATTAACTTGTTCCAAAATGATTTATAGAAATCAAATTGAGTCTTTTTTAAAAGCTCAGGTAAGGAGTCACAATTTAGCAAGAGAAATCTAAATGTTATGGCATCTGCCCAAGCTGTAAAAGAAATTTGACTAGAGCCTGGTTCCACCATGAGATTACTTTTACTGCTTCTAATACCTGATCAATCCCTTTTAATCATGTTCTGGAAGGAATGAAAGCTCACTTAGCTGCTTTTTTTCAGTTTGGGCACCAATCAATGTCAATGGTACTGGAGGTTTACCGAGAAAAAATAATGTCCCTTTTACTACATGGAGTGCCTATTTGAATCTCAGCATCTTTAACTAAGCTGGAAACAGTACAGGCTTCATTTTTACAAGTTCTTCTGTGTACCCCTGAATGCATTTCAAATTCTAATCTTTTGTTGGAATCACGCTTTAGTCAAAATCTAATTGACGTGACATTTAACACTCATATCTTAACAGCTGTAGCAGCAGGAGGAACTCTGTGGGTTCTAATATGTGCGTAACTTAATATCCAGAGGGAAGTTTCAGAAAAGAAGAAAAGAATGATCAAGGTGGAAAATCGGGCCTTCCTGGTGGATGATGGCCATCTAAGTCACCCACTTTGTTGGAGTGAGCTCCTCCCTTCTTTTATGTCAAGCAGTGACCATCATGAGCGTTTGATAATTACTAAAAAGGTCCTTGTTTACCCTGGTTCTTCTCAACCATGACATTGTTTAAATGTTGTTTTGTTTTTATAAGCTGTTGTAAGCTCTCAAAATACGAAGTGCTATATAGATATTCAAAATAAGTAAATGGTAATTGGGGACATTTGTGGTCAAGGCAGAATTTTCTTTATTTTTAATGACTCCTTTTAGGCAAAGCTTTTCTCTCATTCCTCTCATGGAGCATCTCTTATCCCTCCTTTTAACTCATTACTGTACATCACATTGTTGGAAGTAGTCAGAGTGAGGATTGTTGAAAATAAAGTTTTGTGGCCAAGTTGGTGCTGCAAGAATCAGTGGCTATTGCTGCTTGAGGAACTCTTAGAATAGAATCCGGTTGCCAGGCTGACATAATGTTCCTTTTCTTCCTCCCTTCACCCCTGCCCCAATTTGAAGGATTACTTTGACATTGTGAGGAATCCCATGGATCTTTCCACAATCAAGCGCAAGCTGGATACAGGACAGTACCAAGAGCCATGGCAGTATGTGGATGATGTCTGGCTAATGTTTAATAATGCCTGGCTTTATAACCGCAAGACGTCAAGAGTCTACAAATTTTGCACTAAGCTTGCAGAGGTCTTTGAACAAGAAATTGACCCCGTTATGCAGTCTTTGGGATACTGTTGTGGACGCAAGGTGAGCGTGGTTTCTTTCATGCTATAAAGCAGGGGTCCTCAAGCTTTTTAAATAGGGGGCCAGTTGAAAGGCAGCACGGACCCGCACAGGTTGGTGAGGTGGGGGTACCTGGGCACGCTGGCCGGTGAGGCAACGGCGGGCTCACGCACGGCGGCTCACTTGCCAAGAGATCTCTCACCAAGTCTAAAACCATCTCCGAGTGAGCAAGCCGCCACCTCCCCGCCCGTGCAGCGAGGCAGCGGCAAGCCCAGGCACTGGGCAGCGGCACAGGCTGGATAAATGGGCACGGCGGGCCAGATCTGTCCCATGGGCCGTAGTTAGAGGACCCGTGCTATAAAGGTTGTATCTTTGAACAAAGGAACACTGCAAAGTTTTACTTTAAATGGCACACCCTTGTTTTGGTTACTGTATTGTGTCTTAGCCCATGAAATCCTGGGTACGGGTTGCATACAAGGTGGATTTATTGAATAGGTGATTTTCTTATAGTTGTTTCAAATATTATTTAAAAGGTTCATAAGTCTTTCAATTTAAAACCATAGTCTCAGCCATTTGAAATTGGTTTTCTATAACCCTAACCCTCCAAATCAGTTAAATCCATGAAAATCTCTTCCACTTACTGAAATTAGATGAGAAATGTTTTATCATGTCAGTTTTCTCTGACCAGCACGTCATGATCTATATGGGGCAGGATTTTACAGACAGCAAACCAGCTACAAACATTGGTTGTTTCATGTGGACCTGACAGATAATTCAGCTTGCCATGGCTTGTTCTCTCTCTCCTTCCCCACTCCTGTCCTCTGGTCAGTAACAAAGGTGAGGGGGCAGGAGAGAGGGGTCAGAACTCCATTTCCGGCTCTCAGGTTGGAGTGCAGTCCAATTCTCTGCAGTCAAAGCTGGGAAGCTTTTCCTGTGTGTACTACACAGACGTATTCTTGTGATTTGGTGCACTCGTACAATGACTGTTTCCGCATTTCCTTCTTTTGCAGTATGAATTTTCTCCTCAGACCTTGTGCTGCTATGGGAAACAGCTGTGTACTATTCCACGGGATGCAGCCTACTATAGTTACCAGAATAGGTAAGTTCTACTGCTCTGGTCAAAATCAAATACTAACAATTCAAATACTAACATACTTGCCACAATTTCTTCTTAGAACCAGCAGAAGAGGTTAGAAAAAACATCTCATTCCTTCCTAATATCTGTGGACAAGTTTTAAAAGAAGTTGCAGCAAGCTGCTGCTGTCATCTTTACTCTATGCCTGAATTACTTCTCTGGTTGATCAGAGAAAGGGGCAGGGCAGGGCAGGGCAGGGCAGGGCAGGGCATAAAAGGTAAAGGGGAGCAGCTTGGTGTTCCTGGTGTTGGTGTGGTCAGAGAGAGAGTGCTTTCATACAATTCAGTTGTAGTGAAATGGAAGAAAAGAGAAAGTTCTGTCCTGCCACTCCCACATTCCTTCTAATTTACTTACATATCATGAAGGTAATCCAATTGTCTAGACTTATGAAGGTGTGGACAGGGCCCCATTCATATGCTTCAGTTCTCCATTTCTTTTATGGAATTACTTTAAGTCTACAATTTAATTACAGAAGGTACTGAGCACCTTTGCCAGATCCACTTACTGGTTTGGGGACTGGTATCACATGCTCACTGGACCCCTTGGTACGTGGATTCTTTTCACAGATCAGGCAAGAGAAGCCAAAAGGTCAGTGGAAGTGAGAGCAGTTTTGAAGAGATCAGTAATGCAGCAGCTGTGGAGCATCAGCCATGTTACTGTTTGTTGTTCTTTGTCATAAGGCTTTTGTCTTTCTTTATTCTGCATTGCTTGGCCTCTCCTATGATCTGATGCTAAAGTGGGTGAAATAGATTCTAAGTATATTCCTCTGGGTATTGAACAGTGGTGTGCATTTTTGGGCTTAACATTTCAAACGGTCATTCAGTGAGAAGGGGCAGAGGTGCGTTTTACTTACTTTTTTGCACCTTTGTTTTTTGCGTGCTGTATCATCCTTTCCCATCTTGGTGCCCTTCCTGTGTTTTGGATCATATTTCCCATTAGTCCCAGCCATCATGACCAGTGGGCAGGGATGATGGATGTTCTAGTCCAAAACATCTGGAAGAGAGCAGGTAAGGAAAGTAAGTTCTCTTTTGTCAGTAATGCATACCAGTAAGTTGAGTTAGTGCTTGATGGTCAAGCTTGAACCCATCTCTTTTGCTAAAGCCTCCCACAAGTAGCAAGATGTAGAAATAACTTCCTCTCTTCATTGGACACAGAACCTGGATTCAAGCCATATCTCACCGTGGTCTACATAACAGACTGGCAATGGTGGCTCTTCAAGGTTGCAGGCCTTACCTAGTTCCCATACCTGGAGCTGCAGCTGGGGATTGAACCTAGAACCCTTGGCATGCAGAACAGGAGCTCTGTTGCTGAGCCAGGGCCCAATCAACCAGAAGAGCACATCCCTGTGTCTTCATAACAGCCACCATGGATGCTGCCTGCTGCTGCTGGCCCCACTTGATCAGCAGTGGGGCATCACAAGAGCCAAAGCAGCAGAACCAGCTCTGAAATTGGTTGGGCTTTTTCTCCCAGCTGCATGCTTATTTCGTGTGGGAGATGGTTCTGCTCTCTTTGTGTTTCCAAAGGCTGCCTTTGATTGTCTTAGTCATTCTGGATCACTGACTCGTCCACAGTGGGATAACTAAATTTGAATAAAGCCCCCTTCTGCATGAACAGGCAGTTCTGACAGCTCTCTGCTTTCTGTGTGCATGCACGTGTTCCATGTGCACACGTGCACACATCTGTCTGTCCAGGCCAGGCGCATCATACTACATGCTGTTGTTCACCTCGTAGGTTCAGTGGTGATCAGAGATGAGTGCACAGTGCATAGCTTTGGAGTCTGACGACTAAAACTGCCATCGTATCCCCTTTTCTTGTTGTTGTTGTTGTTGTTTTACTGTTACCGTGTGTCTTTCCTTTTGTTGATTGCTGCTGCCTGCACTTACTACATGCCTTTATGTTTTAGTTTATATGCTTTCTGAACATTTAGCCAAGTTTGTCTTGGATTGGCATAATACTGCCTCCAGTGTAGATTAGATCTCGAATGCAAATGGAACAAGGCTTTGCTTTACTTGCCTTGACTTCATCTAAGGAAACCTCCAGGCTAGTTAGCTAGCATGGGAACAAGCTGCAATTTCAGTTTGTGACAGCCTAATAAATTACTAGACTGCACTGCATATAATTACAATATAAGCAGATATGGTTTACACAGAGATATTTCTAAAATATAGGTGCAAGCTTGGCTGCAGACTCAGAGTCATAAATATATTTCTGTTAAGTGGTTGTCTAGAGTATGAATTTGGTTTTGTTGGCATTATAATAGATGAACTGATCAGTTGGTCACATTTAGCATAATTTGCTTTCTGTCTTGACTATTTTGATATTAAAACTATTGCTACTTCTTTGTATTAGTAAATAGCTACAATCTAATCACACTGGCAACTCTGAGAGTTTATTCAGGGTTCTTCTCAATGGCTGCTTGCTTCAAAGGATAGTTCATGTTTAAACCTGACATACTGCAAAATCAGATCCAAGTGCTCTAATTGAAAGACTGTGCAAATGGATGCATTTATAGGCTGCTCAGCAAGATGGTCTGGAATCTCATTTGTCACCCATGAAGGCTGGTGATGACTGAAATAAGACCGAATGGGGACCTGCACTTTGCCTTGGCTTTCTGCTCTGTGTTGTCTTGGTGTTTGTGTCTTACTACTTCTGTCTGTGCTGTTTGTCCCCTCCCCTTTTCTCTAATCCTCCCCTCCCCTCTGTTCCTTTTCATTGTCCACACTGACCCATCAATCGACCAACCAACAACGCTCCCCCTTTCGTCGTGGTGATCTGCCCTGCGCTGATTGGTGGTTCCATTGCTTGGGTGGCTGTGTGTTTTGATGGACCAGTTCACCCAAATATGGCCTTCTTGCTGACAGGTATCACTTCTGTGAGAGATGTTTCACTGAAATCCAGGGGGAAAACGTTACCCTGGGTGATGACCCTGCCCAGCCGCAAACGTAAGTAATGGTACATTTTTTAAAAGCTGAGAGTACAAGTTGACAAGAGAGCTTTCACATTCATGGCCTGGGTACATCAGTCAAGGCCTGGTTATATCAGGAACTTGTGTGCATTACTTGTCATTAACAGTCTTGAAATGACTTTTCTCTGTGTGTGTAGAGCTCTTTCACACTGAAGAAAGCTGATTTCTTGCTTAGACTCATCATCATAGCAGCAGCATGGAGTGCTGGTGTTTTGTTTAAGAGCATGAATGTTTAGTTGGAAGGCCTCAGTTCGAATTCTACTCAGCTATGACACATTGAGTGGGTCCACACTATACAGCAAGCAATTGTGTTTTGTTTTGTTTTGTTTTAATGTTTTTGGTCTGTTGTGTGTGAACCCTATTGTGATATTTCTGCATGGTATGTTTGGCTTTAAGAAACTGCAGGCAAAAAAAACCAGTGGTCTGTTCTGTGTTTTCTGAACTATATTATCTAGATTGCTTGTTGTGTAATTTGAACTGGAAAGTACAACTCAGTGTGATACTGAGGCCAGAACCACAGAGCTGCTTGGCAAGAGAGCAGCACTGACAACTGCCACTGAGCAGAGCTGTCACAGTTTTTGTGCATGCTCTCTCCGCATCACATATATGAACTTTGAGCCTGCCTAGAGGCTGGAAAGGTTCAATAGCTAAGAGCATTTTTTGCAATGCGGCCCACTGCTTCTTGCTCCTGCTGCTCATTCACAAGTAAGTGGCACATGCCAAGGAGCAGACAAGGAATCAACTGAGTACTGCTGCGCCTTCCTGTCGCACTGCCCAGCAGATTCTCTCCTCCTTTGCCTGATTGTGAATTGGGCACCGTGTCCTGCTCAAGAAAGCAGGAGGGGAGGGGGGCTGATCAGCTTCTTGTCCTCTGTGCTGCACTTCATGGCATGAGCCCTGTTTGTGCAGCAGAGACTGGTTGACAGCCTGGCTCATGATTGCAGTTGCAAAGCAAAGAGCCTCATTTCTCCTCAGGGTTTCCTATAATATTGCCTGGAAGGCTGAGAGGAAAGAAAATAGCAGATGGAAGACGAATTACTGTGTTGAGCCTGATAATCTTTCAGACACATCCACACTGAATAAAATAAAATAAAATAAAATAAAATAAAATAAAATAAAATACGGGCCCAGTGAAAGCAGTGTGAACTGCTTGTCTTGCCATGGGAATGCAGCCACTGTGAGGCCTTGGGCCTCACTGTTTCTGTCTGCTGCTCTGCATTTGAAGATAGGCCTGTCTTAAAAGTCTTGTTGTAAAGATTGCTAGGTGTGAATTAAGTGTTTTGAGTGCTTAGGCAAATGCCAGAGTAAACTCCTAAAAATGATGTGTTCATTCCTACCATAGTTGTGCTACTTGCTAAGGTGAGATTCTGATCTACAAACTGCTTCTGTGTCTTGGTGGCAGTTGGTAGTTTAAGATTCTCCTGGTCATACTTGTGCACAAAACAGCTTTCTCGGGTTTTCTTTCTATGTATTTGGGATTATTCTTATTAGTTGATGAGGATGGTAGTTAGCTTATCATGATCGCCGAGGGTATAGCAGATTTGGTTACCACTCTATGTGGGAATGCCAAAGCAGAAGCATCCCTCTCTCATACAGATGTCAATTTAGGGAATGGCACTCTTTGATTATAACAGAGGGCCAAAGTTACAAGGCTTAACTTGCTTTGTATCTCTGTTTGCAGAACAATATCAAAAGATCAGTTTGAGAAGAAGAAAAATGATACATTGGATCCAGAGCCGTAAGTATCAAACCATTGCACTGGAAAAGAACTACTTAGATGGAACTGCAGGGAAATATCTTTGTCCCTTTTCACATTATTTTAAAAACATGCTTGGAATTCATATGGGACAACTCCTGTTCCATTGATTTAAAGAATTTGCAACTGCATTCTGAAGTCTAGTATTTTCTCTAAAAATGCTGCCTTACTTTAAAGGTCTATCAAAGCCTGTAAGCAGCCCACAAAAATCCTCACAAAAATGAATACAGCAGCATTTATTGATCACCATTGTCCTTTTGCATAATCCCTGATTGTCAGCCTTAAATCCTGTTTATTAGTTCATCTGATAGGTTGAATAATGTCTTAGGGCTGCATAATGAGTTTTGTTATCTCTCTGGAACTATTTGGAATCTGTTTTAGAGAGATAAAAACTTTCCCTAAAATGTATGTGTTGCAATTCATGCTGCAAAGTCTTAAGTTCTCTACTGCAGTTTCCTATGGAGTAGGTGGGCAATTATGCTTTAGACCAGTGGTTCTCAGGGTGGGCCATAAGACCCTCCCATATTTCTAGGGGGCCACAATAAGTGCCATATTCCTCGGGCATCACAGTGCAGATGGCAAAGTACCCTTTAGATAGGGTATAAGGAGCAACTATGAGGGGGGGTCACAGAGGTGAATAAAGCTCAGAAGGAGGCCGGGAGCAAAAAAAAAAAAAAAAAAAATGCCCCTACTTTGGTCTGTGGTCAAATTTATGGGATTTCCATAAAATACCTTTTATTATCTTTGATTTTTTTCTTTGCTGACTTCATGTATGAGGTGCAGAGTATATGCTGGTACATATAAATGCTGAATGAAAGATGTATTTAGCTTTATAAAATACTTATTAATGCAAAGCATAGCCTATACATATGATGCAGCCATGTGGTTGATTTTCTTCAAGAAAATTTGATGTGTTTAGTGTATTGTTAACTGGTTTCATGTCTCATATTTATTAAACTTGTATACGTTTCAGTCCATTGAGGCTCCTCAGCCTATTAATCTTATAAATTTATATCAAATATCTGGAGATTTAAGAGTACCATTTGAATTTGCTCTTTTGTATTCTTGGACAAAAAAACCTTTGATAAACTTCAGGACAAAGAGAGTTATATGTGCATTATGGTTATCTATTTGTAACACTTTAATATTTAAAAGATGATGGATACGTGAAGGTAGTCCATTTGTGTAACTGACTCCTCTTCATACTTTGACATACTGGTTTCAAGGAAAGTAAGCTTGCTCTTCCTTTGTTCCCTTACCCAGTTTTGTAGATTGCAAAGAATGTGGTCGAAAGATGCACCAGATCTGTGTGTTACATTACGATATTATTTGGCCTTCAGGGTAAGTAGCTTTGGAATATTACAGTTTTTACTGTGTGGAACTAAAGTAACATAGCAGTTGTCTGTGGTTGCCTTTATATACCAGATCCCAGCGATCTTGGGTGGGAGGGTCTGTTTCATTCTCACCTTGCTTGTGGGATCCCCTAAGCAGCTGATTAGCCATTATGTAAATAAAAAGCTGAACTAGATGCAAACTTGGTCTGATCCAGTGACAGGGTCCTTATGTTATCAGCACAAACCTCTGCAAATTTACTAACAAATAAGATCTTCCCACTACGTTTGGTTGAGGCTTTCTCCCAGGTAAGTTGGTATTCCATTAAAGCTAGTTTTAAAGGTGTATTTGTCAGCGTTACTTGCAAGATACTTTGAAAGCATGCTATGACTATGCCAGTTGTATCTACACAGAGTAACCTTCCACTAAAAAAACCCCCTAATTTTTCAACAAAAACTTTTTTTGTTGACTGGAAGAGTGCAACTCTGCTGCTTCTCATCCTTTCAGCAGCTTTTGAAACCACTGACAGCAATATTCTTCTGGACTACCTCTGGGATTTGGGGCAGCACTGGATAGTGGTTCAGCTATTCTTGCATGGTTTGTTCTATAAAATGAGATTTAGTGCCTTAGGCCCTGGCAGTTGAATATTACTTATAAATAAATAAACACCCTAAGAGCGTATGTGCAAACACTTTCCAGATCCAGGAATTGGGCCATTTGTGTGGCCTGGATAGGAATCTATCCTCTCTGAAGCAGCAAATCTGTAATTCCAGGCTGCACTGTATAGAACTTTGTCACTGGAAACCCAGGTGGTGTTGATGACTTGGAACACCCATTACCAACTTCAGTTGGTGCAACAACTACACCCTTTCACCGATAGAGATAGTCTAAGCTCTGTGACTCATGCGCTGCTAGCCTCATGATTAGAGTCCTGAAATGCACATTATGTAGGGCTGTCATTGCACATGGTTTAGGAGCTTCAGCTAATGCAGAACACAGCAGCCATGGTGCTCAGTGGCGCACCTAACTCTGTACACATGTGCTGAAAGAATTGTGCCTGCTACCTGTTTGTTACAAAACTGTGTTCAAAGTTTTGTTTTTGACACAAACAAAACTGAAGCTGGGTTAAAATTGACCCAGATAATGAGCAGCATCCAGAAAAAAATCATACACTCGAGGGCCTTGCCAGGAGTGGATTATTGGAAACCTCCTAACTGCCCAGCATCTTCCTCTTGAGTGGCAAAGGAAGTCTCAGACTCTTAGGATGATTGTCTTTAAAAACCCTAGTATCCATACAAAGTTACCTTTCTGAGAAGTGGCTCAGGACTTCACATGTGGGAAGTAATTCTCTGGATTTGGGTTTTTTTGATGGTGGATGGATGATGATGGTTTGTTTAAAGTAGGACAACTCATCAAATTCTTTGGACCACTTCCCCATGAAGTTGTCATTGGCTATTTCCATCTGATGGGGTGTTGGTCCTTTAAGATGGTCTATTCCAGGGGCTAATCTAATCCAGAGAATTCATGAGTGCCTTTAAGGAAGTTTTCTGTTGAAGTCCTATTCTCCTCTTACAGTGTAGAAATGATTCAGGCAGCTGACAAGATCATTCCCAAGTGCCCTTTTGGAGGAGGCAGAGCCTGAATAGCTCCTAAGTGAGGAGCTTGGGCTGATGAAACTGGTTGGGAGATGGCTACAATGCAAGCAGCAGAAGACTCAAACGAATCGTATGATTATAGCGTTGGACAGGTCTTTGGAGTCATCTAATCCAGCTATCAGCTCAGTGCAGCATTTCAAATGGGGGCTGCAACTACAGAATCCCTGGCATATGACCACCTGGAGTGGTGCTCCAGGTTTTCAGACATAGGACTTCCCTAGCTCTATCTGAAGACACTAGAGATGCAACTGGCACCTTCTCCATTCAAAGCAAGTGTTCTACTGTTGAGCTGCAACATTTTTGCAACCCAGTTTGTTCTTAACATCTCACTCAGGTGAGGTAGTGGAAGTACTAATTCAGTGGCTGCATGAAGGGCAATTAAATGGAGCATTTTGGATCTGAGACCAATTCCTGACTTCAAGAGGATGTTCTTCATCTTGTCCTTGATGGGGCTGCACTGCCCCTGAAGATGCAGCTTCTCAGCTTATCACTGGAAGCGCAAGTATCTTCATTAGTCTGCTGCCATTCTACATGGGATTAGCCTGGAAGCTTGTACAGAATAGGGGTATGGAACTTATAATTGGAACAGTTCGCTGGTGAAATATCTCACCAGCTTTAAAATAGTTTCACTGATGGTCTGTTCATTCCCATGTTACTTCAAGGTAGATATTGGTGGTGTTTAATGCTTTAAACCAGCCTGTCCTTTGGGTTTTTGGGGCTTTAACTCCCATCAACTCCAGGAAGCATGGCCAATAAACAGGAAAGCAGGGAGTTGTCAGAAATATCTGGAGGGCACCAGCTTGGAAAGGCTGCTCTGAACAGTTTGGATCCCGAATACCAAGCAGCTTTCTCCTTAGCAATATGACCTGAGGTTGTAGTAACCCTGCCAGAGGAGAGGACTGTTTTTGGCTCTAGTTCTCCTCAGCAAGGCACGTCTGTGCCAATTGTGTTACTCTTTTAGATGTTAGGCAACCGCCTTTTTACTCTCCCAGATCTTTTAGGGTTTCTAGGTTTCCATCTTTATGCTGATTGTAGTTTCTTAATTTTTTAAGAGAAACTGTTCCCGGGATCCTGTTTGATGAGAAAGGGCTGGAGAGTTGTATACCAAGTTGAATATAACTTCCCCCAAATTAATAAAGGTTCTGCTGTATTTAAAGTAAATACCAATAGTCACATGAATGAAGTGCGATGGGTTACACATGGTGATAACATAAGCAACTGCACGTGGAGGAAAGGATCCTCATAATGGGCAGAAGCAGCATGAAAGATCCCAGGTTCTAGCGTGCTCCTGTAGAGAATGCACACAGCTGAGGGGGTGGTCTGTGTTTGGGCTCCTTACAGGCATCCAACGGCTGCAAAGTGGTACTTTGGACGACAGCAGCAGGCTTGGTTGGTGGCGGCAAGGAGGAGGGGCTTTTCACTGGTGACCCCCCAGCTATAGAGAAGATCCCCACTGAGGTCTACCTGGCACCAGTTTAAAGCATTTCTATCCTTTCAGTGTCAGGTTAAGATGCTCTTCTACTACAGAGCATCTAATTAGTTTAATGGGGCTTTGTTAGTTGTTTAACCAGGTTCACTCAGGTTTTACTTAAGTTACTGGAATTTTTAAAATGTGATTTTAATAATGTGCTGCATTTTAGATAGTATTTTATTAGATAGTTTTATACCATGCGGAGAGTTTCGGCTGTTGGGAGGTATAGAGGTTGGGTGGTGCTGGTTATTCTGCGCATTTTGTAATAGGTCTGTGTGACACAGACATCCTCAGCTTCACCATCAGTTTGTGGAGAAAAGGAGGTGCTTCCTTTTGAAGGCCTGCCATTTCAAAGCACTGCTCTCACCCCAGATGCACACACTGAATTGCTCACTTCTTTTAATCTGAGCCCAAGTTAGTCTTCGGTTCATTTGAGAATGTTCAGTGGGATGCTTTTCCTCTCCCCAGAGTTGTGGCTCCATTGCACGATGAGAACCAGCTGTTGCCACTGACTTCAGTCCATAACTGAGGCGAGCTGCTGTGCACTCCGGCCATATGCCTCCCGCTGAAGCCCAAATGATCAGCGCTTGAGCAGGCGCCAGTTTGCAATTTAGGGGTTTATATGGACTGATTTTTGTGGGATTACTGGCAGAAGGAAATAACATCTTGGATGATATGTTTTTTCTTCTTAGGGAAGGCTGGAGCTCACTGAAGTTAAATGGCACGATGGCCACAGAGAATATGTGTTTATGTGTACACACATGCTTTTGTGGTATTTCCAGCTTGGCATTGATGTTGAAGCAAGTTCATATTGAACTTGCATTGGCATTGATGTTGAAGCAAGTTCTTCTTGTGTTTTTAGCTTTGTGTGTGACAACTGCTTGAAGAAAACTGGCCGAACACGAAAAGAAAACAAGTTCAGTGCCAAAAGTAAGTTTATCATCTTCTTAGTTGTATATTCATAGATGTTCTTACTGCATCCTATTTTCTTCTTTTCACAAGCACCATTTTCAAATGAAACAAAAAATGTTTATAGGGTGGGGGTTCACTTTTGGTGGAATTTTCCTGGAATTTAAAGAGGTATTGTTGGGAGGAGGTGTGGGAAGAACTAAACTTAGAAACTTAATTGTTTCACCCTTTTCATTTGTTTCTGGATTGCAATTCTCAAGATCCTTTCTCTCCTTCAAGGAAATTCTTAGATGCATTACTTACCATAGCTCCACAAATAGGACTATTCAGTGACATAAATGCATTACTTAAACAGTGTACACAAAGCATGCTGCTGCACAGACATTTAAAACAGCTTATAAATGTCCGAATAAAGTTGTACCATTTAGTCTTTAGGTGACCTGAAATGGATGGAGTCCTGTCTCTGTTTTCTGTAGTGGATTGTTCCTTGTTGGAGGAAAATGATAAAAGTTACTACTTAGCTTCCTGGCTGGAATGTCTTACAAGCCCTGCATGACTGAGTGTCAGAAATTTGTTTCTAAGGCAGGGTTTGGGTGCTACCTTTAATCCAACTTGCAGCTTTTAATCCAACTATCCAATATATGCCATGAAATAGCTAGGAAGAGAGAGGGCATTTTTATCTGACACCAAAAAGAATGGCAATGTTGACATGGTGTGAGCTTCAGTGGGGGATCACTCCATAATGAATGGGGGGAGGGGCATCTCTAAGAAGGCCCTCCATCTTCTCGCCTCTTTCGAGCTACCCTTGGAGTTGGCGACAGAAGGAAGGCTCTAGATCAGGATTGTGGGGTCCAGGTAAATTGAGATCAGTTTTGGTTTGCAATCAGGTATTGTGGACCCAAGCAATGTTGGACTTCCTAAGTTAAAACCAGCACCTTGGATAGTCTTCAGAAGTCTATAGGCAGTCATTGCAAGCAGGGCACAATGAGCCCTAGCCCTAGCCCAGTGATGGTGAACCTCTTAGAGAATGAGTGCCCAAACTAAAACCCAAACCCCATTTATTTATCGCAAATAAAAAAACTGTAAAAAACCCCCAGAAAACTGAGGTTTTAATTTAGAAAAAACAACTCACAGCCAGTCCAAGCAAATATATAAATATCCTTGGCAACACACTGACCGGCCATGCAAAAGCTTGGACAAGTCGTGGCTAATGAGTCGCGGATCATGATGTCATCGCCTGATGCCACTCCTCCTTTCCGAGCATGCACATGGCCCCTATGTGTGCTGTTATCTGAAGCTCGGCTGCTGGGTCAACTTGGCTCACGTGCAGACAGAGAGGGCTCTGTGTGCCCACTGTGGCACATGTGCCATAGGTTCGCCACCATTGCCCTAGCCCTAATCTAGATTACGGAAATTACACCCTCCCTGTCCAGATAGGGGTTTAGCTAGCCCACCAACTGAAGTCGAGAGGAGGCACTTGATGCTACTGAGGCCATGCGAACCAAGTGACAAAGATGGATCAAGGAGCACCACCGAGCTTCGAACCTGCACCCTTCAGTAGGCATGGAGCTCCGTTCAGAGCAGGTCGAACACCCACCATCTGGTCAGAGGAGCCAACGCCAAGAGCTACTCGGTGCCGCCTGGCTCTCGTCCAGGCCACTGTCTCAGTCAGGCCCCATTTAGAACATGCGCAGCCTCACCTCATGGGAAATGAGTAGAGCACATCGTCAGCATTCGTGTGGCAGCGCACACCAAAACTCCTGATGATGCCACTGAGCAGTTTCATGTAGTTGTTGAACAGCACCAGGGAGAGGACTGGCCCCTGAGGAAGCCTATGCTGGAGCTGTTGGCATTAAACGTTGAGATACTGTTCTCAAAAAGGAAAGAAAGGAAAGCCAAGATAACTTAGCATAGAATCTGTTCATATAACAAATTCTGTGTCTTTGCTGTTAAAAAGGAGGGTACCTGAGGCAGGGTGAGGAACATGCTTGGAATTCTTGACAAAGGCTTTTCAGAAAGAATATGGATAATTGGAGACAATCTTTCACAAAGCCCTTTCTCAAACAGCCATTAATATCAAATCAGAAATTTTACAGAGCCCACAGGTATAATGCTTTACTACACTGGCAAGCTATAGAGAGAAGCAGTTTGTGTTCACCTGTGTATATGTGATGAGAAGTCATCTAGATATCATGTTAGTTGTTGGGTAGCTTCTAGAGAAGGACTAGACTTCCCATGGGAGAAAGGACTACTCAGGGACACTGATCCTGCAGGCATTGCTTGAAGACCTGATGCCCAGCTGTATAGCATGGGGACCCCCCAATTCCTGTTCTCTTCTTCAAGGTGGAAATGGAGTGGAAAAAGATGGAGGAACATTTAATGATAGCACTGAGCCTAATTCATGGTTTGTACCAGTGGTCCCTGTCTCAAATGAAAAGACTTCTGGATAGGTCTTTAGAAACTTAATGAGTTACATCCAGAGCTAAATACTACTACAAGCACTAGAGGAAAGATTCACAAAAGTGACAGGGCCAAAGTAATTTTCTGCATGCGGATATTCAGTTGATTCTTTGACTACGTCCATTACACTCTTTGAGAGATTCTGTTTTCAGCACTTACATTTGAAATTGCAAGTACTTCCAAGATTTTTGAAAGGGAAAATAAATAGCACCTTAAACATACTGGCTTCATGGAGGACATTCTGATACATGACATATCATCACAAAACCCTAACTGCTTTAATAGGATCTGTGCTGTTGGACATGTTCCTATTGAACTCCCACTTATTCTCAGTTACCCTTCAATTATCCATCTGGTTGTTTCAAAGGAGGCTTCTTTTGTCCAGTGCAGAGTGCATTGTGTTTGCCAAGGCTTTTTGATCCCCTTCTGTTTTACCTACTTACGTTATTGCTCCTTGTGGTCTCACATGCTGCTTTTATCCCTTGGGCCAAATGGCCTTGAAGGCACTTTTTAGAAAGTATGTTAAGTGGGGAAGCAAATTGCCACAAATGGATGGAAATTCGTTCTGTCCAACTTGGATGAACAACGCATGATGTGTAGCTGAGCTCACTGCCAGTTTTTTTACCAAGCAGGCATGTAGAAATCATTGGCTCTCTTGAAGGCTGTTCTCTGGAAATGGGCTTTAGAGGCAGTTGTAGCACCTCCTTCAGTGGAGACCACAAAGCTGTCACCAGCACATCTTGCTTCAGTGCCACTTGATCACTTCAACGGTGTGTCCTGCTATTTCTTTGACCTTACGGATGTTGGAGGCTAAGTCTCTCTCTCTTGACAGCTTTAGTCATGGGCGGTCCAGACCCTTTGACTCCAGGTAAGTCTTTGGCCCAAAAAACTAAAAAGGCCAAGCTGTCAAAGACTTCTGACAAGCAGGAGGAGGAGACGACAGCTGTATGACACGTGTCCCCCCAGCATGACCAGTGTTGATCCTGGCTCCCCCATTCTTGAACTCCCCAGTTGCCACACTGCTGCCTTCAATACCAACCCTGAACTTAATATTGGTAACCTTTGTATCTAAAAGAGACAGCCGAAGTCCTTGCCTGTCTCACTACTGAGATACCAGAAGAAGGCCACTGTTGCTGGTGACCCTTCATTATCCGCACACAGTGTCAGCATTGCTTCTGCCCTCTCCACCATAGATTCAGCATAACAGGCAGTGCTCGCTGGTATTGGTCTTGTTCCCTATTGTTGGATTGGTTCAGGCACTCAGAATGGCTTTTGCCTCTCCTTGATTGCTACTGTTCTAATGATTGGAGGTCTATTTGGAATTGTAAGTATAACTAGAACCCTTGTCACATCATGGGAGCTACTGTATGAGACAATGTCTGCTTTCCCTTTGAGATCACCACTAGATATGCTTTCAGATGCCCTCCTCCTCCACTGCCCTGAGCACCACCTACCCTCAAACATGTTGATTCGATTTCAACATGGATGTTTCCTAGCAACCACCTTAAACATCCATCCTCCTTGGCACCTTCCCTCAGCGGAAAGCCAGATTCTTCACTGTTACCTATTACTGAACCCTTCAGATTCTGCATTATCCTCCTCTTCTGCCACATTGATACGTTCTCCAGATACAACAGTTGAAACACACAATTCCCAGTCCCCATTCACAGACCTGACTCACTTTGCCAACCAAATTCAGCGGGTGGTGCAGTCATGGGTCATGAGACAAGCACAGCAGCCACCGCAGAGGATGCAGGCTCAAGTCGTCAGTGCTGTGTTATCCAGGGCTTCTGTACTAGCCGCCTCCCCTTTCCTCCAAACTTTGTTCCAGACAGTTCAACAGTTTTGGAAAGCTCCTTCCTCCATAGTTCTAACTTTTAAGAGATTAGAAACACACATTAGGAAAAAGGCGTGGTCTTTCTTTTTTTTTCCTCACTCTGAACCAAACTCCTCCTCCTCTGTTGAAGGCAAATCCCTGAGAGTTCAATTGCCAGCAGTGGCTAAAGAGGAGCACTGACTGGGGCTTGTGGGACCGAGGCTGTACTCCATCTGGCCTCTTTCCATCAGGTTTCCAAGCTACAATGGCCTCCTGCAAGCACTTCTTATGGGAGATGGGCAGAGGCTCCAGGAGAATTCAAGTGGTGGAAGAACTGAGAATGAATTCAGTAGGTTCTCTTCAGTAGAAATCTCGGGGGACACATGCTCAGGGGCTGGATTGAGAAGAGTGGGGGAATCAGGCCTCTGAGCCAGATCACATTGGGTCACATCTATTGAAGCTGCTTTGGTAAAATAGACAAGCTCTGTCAGAAAGATGACTTTTGGCCATTGGAGGAGCTGCAGTTGCATTTCCTCATCACTCAATGTAACTGCTACCAGACTGGTTTATTTGGCTGTTGCCAAATCTGCCAACAATAATCGGATCCATGTGACCATATCACATCCAATCCAATATTCCATCTGATGGTAGATGAATACTGACAACCCTCAACAGGATCTCTCTTTTGTTCAAGCCTGTCCCTCAAAAGTCCTCATTACTAACCCATTGACTGCAGGCTGAGGTGCTCATAGTGGCATGTTGACCATGCCATTGTATTGACTTCCTGGAACTGTCACCTGTCAAGAAAGCCCTGCCGGCACTCAGTGCAGTCCTTCAGGGCTGGCATGTTCGAGTGGTCACACACAGTGCCACTGAGGTGCAGTGTGTCAGCAGGCAAGTGGCCACACCCTCTCCCTGCTTTCGGGTCCTGCAATTCATGCATGCTGTTGGTGCATGCCATGGGACGTATCCATGCAGCATTCCATATCATAGGGATGCACAATAACATCTCCGGCTTGTTAAGTCCGTTATCACTCCTCACACATAGGTGGCAGCTTCCCCCAACTGTGCGAATTTGTCTGTCTGAAGCAAGGATCCTCCGCTTCATTGGATCATCCTGTACTTGCAAGTGGGCTGTTCTTTTTATCTTCTGCATCGAAGGTCAAGGTGGAACCTAGCGATTGATCCATACCCCATGTCTCAAGCTTCCCTTACCTTTATTCGATAAGGGTCCGAAAGCTTCCTCACTTCATCTTTATTTGGCAGATTTCAGTTTCTCTGTCCTCATAGGAGGCTTCTCAGTCTTTTCCCTCCATCTTTCATGCCACTTTTTCTGAAGGATGCGAAACATTGCTCCACCCATTCATTCATCAGCACCAGCTTGAATTGTCAGTAGTTCTACAAGTGTTGATGGCAGAGTCTTCTGAACTACCCACGATAACTGATCTTCAGTTCTTGTCTTGAAAGGTCACCTTTCTCATCCCAGTTACTTTGGCTCAGAGCAGGAACTCACCCTCTGCACTACTGCACCAGGTCCCCTAATGGGTTTTCGCCTAAAATTCCTCAGGTACAGAGGCTTCCCCAACAAGGCTGTATGCATGTGTGAGTGCACAGATGGCCACTTTTAAGAACTACAAAATATTGAGGGGATCTGAATGGTCTCTTTGTGTTCCTTCGACTGACTTCCTCCTACAATTCATTTCTTGCGCTTTGCTCCCCATAGGGTTACAGACCACCCGCTTAGGAAACCACCTGGAAGAGAGGGTTAATAAATTTTTGCGAAGGCAGAATCACCCAGAAGCTGGAGAAGTCTTTGTCAGAGTAGTAGCCAGTTCAGATAAAACTGTGGAAGTGAAACCAGGAATGAAATCTAGGTGAGTTTTGCTTTCTCCTTCAGTGGAGCCCTCCATTAACGAAAAATGGGATTAGTCATCCTACCTCATTTCTTTTATTTTGGCAACTGAAATGTTAATGACTTGAATGCTCCACTTGTGCATATGATTAGCACCTTCTGTCTCAAGACAGGGTGTCTTGTATGTTGGGGAGCTGAAGACCCTCCTGTTGTGTGCATGACAGCAGCCTCACAAATCAGCCAGGAGTCTGCTTGAGATGCTAGTCCACGAAGGTGCCTTTAATGGCTTCATTTGTGCTCTGAAGTCGGGCTGCCATGTGCCAAGTCCAAAGCCTAGCATGCTTTGCCTATAGGAACAGCTTTTATGAGAACAGCTGCATGTTCCAGCCTAATGGACCCTTTGATCAGTTCCATATACTAAGGTTTCCTTTGAACATCTATTGCCATTTTAATGAGCTACACTTCATCTTAATAGTTCCAGATGAATATATTTTAATAAACAGGTTTAGTGACTGCTCTCTGTCCTGCAGGTTTGTAGATGCTCGTGAGATGGCCGATTCCTTCCCCTACCGAACAAAGGCTCTCTTTGCTTTTGAAGAGATTGATGGTGTGGATGTGTGTTTCTTTGGCATGCACGTGCAGGAATACGGGTGTGATTGCCCACCTCCAAACACCAGGTACCCTGGCATTGCTTCATATGGGACTCCAGGAAGGGATCACGGATGTTTTGACTTGCCTTGCCTTTCCTATTTCTGCCATTAATCCTCTTGTCCCCATTTTTTGTATCCAAGCCTTTTTTGTGTTGTGTGTCAAGGCTACTTCTTCCCTTCTCTTCAGTGTAGCTCCCAGATGTCACATAACTACGTTCTACATGCAATTCAGCTCTGTAAACATAAAGAAAAATGTCCTGAACTTGAATCATTGGACATTGAATCATTGGACCCCATAAATGTCAGACTTTTCCAAAGAAGCATGCTAGAATTCTTCAGTGATTTGAAGAACAACTCCAGAGTTGTCAAGTAAAACTCCAGAAATTTTTAGTAATGCAGGAGATTGCCTTTCAGAGTCTGACCACTGGTTCATCTAGCTCAGTTTATTGTCCACACAGACTGGCAGCAGCTCTCTGTGGTGTCGGCTGGCCTTTCCCAGCTGCTGGGGATTGAATCTAAGAGCTCTTACAGGCAAAGCAGGGATGCTGCCATGAGCTCCAGCCCTTCTACTTTGTTCAGTTTCTCTTCCCATTTTGTTACAGGCGTGTGTACATCTCCTACTTAGATAGTATTCATTTCTTCCGCCCAAGATGCCTCCGGACTGCAGTTTATCATGAGATCCTTATTGGGTATCTGGAATATGTCAAGAAACTGGGGTGAGTGTTCTGTTGAGACATCCCTGGTGCTCATGTTCTGGTGGCACCGCCTAACTGTGGCACCTGATTCTGTGAGAGGGTGGCTGTAATTAATTCTGTTGTATCTCTTCAGCCTTTTTGCAGCATTTTCCCTGTGTGGGTGTAGGAACACTGAGTACAGAATGCTTGTTTTTAGTCAAAATCTTAATTACTGTTGGTTCTAGCAATTTGTGAACCACCCAGAGCCTACAGGAATGTGGCCGTGTATAAAAATCAATTTTAAATTGTCTAAAAAGAATTAATGGAAATATAAATAAATGCATAAATAAGATGTACACCATGGATGAGGAACTTTAGGATCAATGTTCCTTTGGGAGGAAATTATTGGGAGCCACAGGCGGGTTGTGAGCAGGGATAAGACTTCATTCTACCACCAGTTTCCATACTCACACGTACCTTTTGATCCCAACTATTCTGCCCCCCTGCCAAAAAACCTGGTACAAGATTTCATGCGTAGAAATAACGTTAGTGCCAACTTGACAGATTTTTCATACAGAAATGGCTTCCAATGACATGCTATTGAATTACCAAGTCTGAAAAGCTCTCCGAGTGCTGGAATTGGCTAGAAAATTTTATTTTCTTCCACCATTTTCCTCAACACTGAGAGCAGCATTTTGATTCTCTGTGAAAAGATGCTGAAGCCCTTTCCAAAACACCCTTCCTTGCTTGTGAGTGGGTTAATTTACCCCACAGGTTCTATGTGATAGATACAAATTTGAAGCACTGATGTACAAGACACACAGACACAGGTGCTTGCAGATTGCCTGCCTGTCCTCCCTTTGAAAAGGAGCGGGCACTTTTAGTGGCTGCCCACAGCAAAAAGCCTCTGTGGCAATGCTGGAGGCTTGAATGTTGCTCAGCTATGAAGCTGTTTCTGCAACAGCCAGAGGCAAGCTGTGGTCGCTCTGCCAAGCAGGACTTCGTAGTAACTTGCATGCTTCAGGTGCCCCTTCTCTTCTTGGAGAAAGTGCAGCAGCTATACCTGTGCGTGGCCGCTAAAACAGCTTCCAGAAGTCTGATCATAGGATCTCCATCAAAGTGAGCACGGCCTGCAATAGGTCTAGCAGGCCTCTCTCGGACTACAAACCATGCCAGAGGCTTGTGGGCACCTGAAAGGCCAGCGGCCATGGCAGAGCCGCTGCCTGAGGCTGCCTTGGGGGCGCAGGCTGGCCAGGTTTGCTGCCCTGCCTGCTCCTGAAGAATTGCCAGAACTCAGAACTGGACCGTAATTGAAGAGGGCATTCAGGGCAGCCTTTGGTGCCCGTTGCACATCGGCAGTGAGGTTGAGAGCAGAAAACAGGAACACATTTATTTTAATGGCAATGTTTGCACCCTGTTCCCTATCCTCAAGTACTTAAAACACAGCTGACAAATCGGATTTATTAGTTACCTTGTACATGTATTTCACTTTTCCATGAAATGGTGCATAAAGCAGCTAATGCTAAAATGCAAAACAATAATCACAACATAAAAAACAGGTAGGTAACCAAAATAAATAAACCCACTAAAAACAGCAGCTAGTTGAACAAATGGTGGCATTTATTGGGCATTCATCTCTCACACCTGGGGCTTTCTTCTGCAAGCAGCTGTTAATGGCTGTTGTAGCTCCTGGCAAGAGAAATGAAAATTGTGGGAAGATTTAACAAGCCTTTGCCAACCTGCAACCCTCCAGATTCTTTGGACCTTATATTCCATCCTTCCTGATTATTGGTCATGCTGGCTGGAGCAGGTGGGAGTTCATTTATTACATCTCTGCACTGCCTAATAGCCAAACCTCTCTAAGCAGTTCACAACAGTTAAAATTATGGAATGCTGTAACACAATTAAACAGAGTTTATTTTTTTTTTTAAGTTTAAAACTACACTATAAAGCAAGAGTAAGATGATCACCTGTATTAAGATTTAAAAGTACAGAAAAAGACCTAAACTAATAATAACCAAAGAACTAAAATGTGTGGGAAAATTAGAAGTCTTCACCTGCCACCAATACGATCACACTGTAAGGTACTGGCTGAGCCTCTGGGAGGCTGTTCTGCAAGCGAGGTGCACCACTGGGGACCAACCAATCACTCTATTTTGGGGAGGAGCACATGGAAGGAGGCCTCTGAGTTGCTGAAAACACTTGATGGGCACCAGGTTGGGAAAGGCTGTGTTCAGTTGCTGACCAGAGCAGTATGTCTTAATTGCTGCTGGCTCTGGGCCATGGCAGGTGCCAGACTGTTAGAGGCCCTCCAGGTGGGACTTGCTCAACAGGGCTATGATGCTTGCAGGCGCAGGGGGCACTGGTCTGGTGGGTGTTGGGGGGGGGGGTACTCCAGAGGCCTTTTCCAGCCAAAGACACTTCAATTTAGAGTCAGTGGTAATCAGGAGAGAGAAAACCGGTAGTACTAAAGATGCAAAGTTGGAATTTGAATGCAGATTACCAATAAACAGGCAAAGAGAAGCTTACACACGACTTTCAAGTTGGAATGAGGAGTGCACTAGTGTCCAAGCCCCTGGAGCAGTATCCATCATGACAAGGAAGACCTGCAACCAGACGGACTTGTGTAAGGTTATCTCTACCTATTCGCTGAAAATCTGCATCCATGTTACAACTTTCTATTTCAGAAATGTCATTTTTTTCACAAGCCTTTCATCTCCCAGAAATCTGTCCTCAAACTGAAATTGAGGTGGCTTTGGCTGGACTGGACTCCCAGTAGTGCCGGTGTTTGGGGAAGATTGTGAAGGGTTTTCACAAGGCTGCCTTTCTCCCCCACTTGGATGTTCGGGGCTGGTGACACTCATCCTGGCCCTCCTCACCTTGGACATACACCTCCTGCATAGCTGGGCAATAAGTTTCCGAAGGGAAAACACATTGGAAGAGTTCTGACAAGGAAGAACTGGTCTCTCCTGGCTGCCATGGGAGACTTTTTGAACCAAGAGCCAGCCTCCAGTTCTGAAGGCAAATACTTAACTGGGCTGCTTTTGCTTCTTTGGGACATGCAGGTATGTGACGGGTCACATCTGGGCCTGCCCGCCTAGTGAAGGGGATGACTACATTTTCCATTGTCACCCTCCCGACCAGAAAATCCCCAAGCCCAAGCGGCTGCAGGAGTGGTACAAGAAGATGCTGGACAAGGCCTTTGCAGAGAGGATCATTCATGACTACAAGGTGAGCGCTCCGGGCCCGCAGATGCAGCCGCTAGCGCAGAGGTCGCTGGTGCTCTGGTGGTCCCTCTTCCATGACCAGGGCAGCAGCTATACTGGGGGCAGGTCAGCGGCGTTTTTCCAGAAATTTGCCTGTCCGGTATTAACGCACTATTGTCTAAAGTATAACTGGATTTCTGCATTGGACTAAGAAATGTTTAACAAATACGAATTCCAAATGAAAAATCTACTGATGTTGAGGTAGCTGCCTTGTTAGTTCATTGGAACCCTCAGGCTGTGGCTTTCATTTTGACTTCTGCCAGATGAACTCGTGTTTGTCACGAGCAGCCATTGTTGCTGCAGACTCGTGGGATGCAGCTTTGCACACAGTAACTGGAGAGTGAGCCTTCGTGAAAACAACAGGACTGATTTAGGTGGACACTAGAGTCCCTCCTAAAAATGCTGCAGCTGTCTCCTAAGTTAGTCCAGTGCTGGAGTGTACTAAAACAATTTCATTTGATATTTTCTTTGACCCCTCCATGGGGGGGGCAGGGGGTGTCATCATATTTAGCACAGCTAAGCCCAGTGTGGAAAAATGCGGCCTTTTACAGGACATCTTCAAACAAGCAACTGAGGATCGGCTGACAAGTGCCAAGGAGCTGCCTTATTTTGAGGGCGACTTTTGGCCCAACGTGCTAGAAGAGAGCATTAAGGAACTGGAACAAGAGGAGGAGGAAAGGAAAAAGGAAGAGAGCACAGCCGCCAGTGAAACCACAGAGGTGACTGGAGTTCATACTGCCTTGGAGTTTATTATTGGTGGGCCCCTTTGAATGGGCAAGTGAGTGAAGGCCCACATTTTCCAGCCCAGGCAAGATTTACTTCCCAGCCCCGTCAGGCGCTGACAGCAGCTGCAGGTGTGTGTCTTGGAACACAGCACTGAGCGAGGGCAGCAGCTTCTTCTGGGGACCAGCTGCCCATTCCCCTCCCACCTTCTTGCCTGGGTAGGCAACTAAGGTGACCAAGCAAGCTCTAGCTTATCTGCTTTGCTCTGCAGAGCATGAAACAGCGATGGAGCTTTTGTTCCCAGGCACAGCCTCTGAGTTGTTTAAAGAAGGCAAAGTGCCGGGTGTTTAGCATTCTTTGGGGGTGGCGGAGTAAGCCTCCCAACCAAAGGCTTTCAAGTTCGGGGGTGGGGGTTTCTCAAGTTTGAGGAGTCTACAGCAGACTTCTTCATGGTTCTTGAAGCTACCCTTACTGGACAATGTAGCTCCCTGCCTTGACTGCCCCATATTTGCCTGTACTTCTTGTTTTGAGATTGCAGCAAGGTGGGGAGGAATCCAACTTCTGATGTACAATTGTAAATTTAAACTTGCACATTCTTTGTATAGGATCCTGCGGCTGTATATACATTTTTTCTTATAGAAAATCAAAGCACTTTGGGAGATACAATGTTTTAGGTTGAAGAAGTAATTAAAGATAATTCCTCAAATTCTTGAAAAGCCATAACAATGGAAATATTTTACTTAAATGGATGAGTCTCCCTCCCTCTCTGTGTGTGTGTGTGTGTGTGTGTGTGTGTGTGTTCAAAAAGCTTAATTCTGTAATGTTGAGGAAGTCATTCTCCCTCCCTAAATTCTACAGGATGTAGCAAACCATTTGTGTCTGATTTGCATGCCTGGAAAGAGGAGCACTTGAGCAACTTTCTATTGTCTTGTCAGGGAAGTCAGGGTGACAGCAAGAATGCCAAGAAAAAGAACAACAAGAAAACTAATAAGAATAAGAGCAGCATTAGCAGAGCCAACAAGAAGAAACCCATCATGCCCAATGTCTCCAATGACCTGTCTCAGAAACTCTATGCCACTATGGAGAAACATAAGGAGGTACCAGAGAGAAGCCTTCATTCCTTTGCTTTGTGCTTCCTTCTCCCTGCACCCCTGGGCATTTTATGGCAGTACAAAGAATGGTGGAGGGGAACCAGAGGCATGAATTCTGCAGGGAGCAAGGGACTTCTTCCAAGGCCCACAGCCAGCAGCTCTGCCCTTCATATTAGGGCTTTTGGCATCTGGCCCAGGTGTTTGTGCACTAACTGGACTCTTTGCTCACCCTCCTGCAGGTCTTTTTTGTGATTCACTTGCATGCTGGACCTGTCGTCAACGCCCTGCCCCCCATTGTGGACCCAGATCCATTACTTAGCTGCGACTTGATGGATGGCCGCGATGCCTTCCTCACTTTGGCCAGGGACAAGCACTGGGAGTTCTCCTCGCTGCGCCGCTCCAAGTGGTCCACGTTATGTATGTTGGTGGAGCTGCACACGCAAGGGCAAGACCGCTTTGTCTACACGTGCAATGAGTGCAAACACCACGTGGAAACAAGGTGGCATTGCACCGTCTGTGAGGTGAGTGCTCTGGGGTCCCCTAGCGTTTGATGGAGGCTTCACATATTTCTCGGGAGTCTTAATGTTTGCTTATTCAGGATACCCAAAGATTTGCTGTGTACTCGGAGAGTAGCAGTTAAATTGGTGAGACTACTCAGTGCTGCGAGTGGTCTGGGGCCAGCAGGGAGCTATCTCTGTGTGAAGCGTGGACTGCATGAGGCTGCCATCTGAAGGATGAGGGAGATGGAAGAGGGATGGTGTACACTGCCGTCCTGCTGTAGCAAGGCGCTGGACCTGATGGCCCTCTTGGCCCCTGGACTCTCCGATTCTGTGATGAAGCTCAATCCAGGGGAGCCGGAGCTGCCCGCAGGCAGACTGCGGAAGTGGTCGCCACTCTGGCTGGAGGGGCTGCATTCCCCTTGAAGACGCAGCTGCAGAGTTTGGTTGACTGTATTCCTGAACCCAGAAAACCTGCTTTTGGTGATCAGGAGTGCCTTTGGACAGCTCAAGTTCTGGGTTCCTGGAAATGTCAGAGCCAGCTGTGATGACACACATGCTTGGGGCTGTCTACCTTTGAAAAGTGTTTGGAAACTTCAGCTCACCCAGAATGCTGCAATCGCATCATTTACCAGGAGCCCATGACTCCCTTGTTAAAAGCAGTGTCCCTGGCTGTCAGTTTCTATGCACAATTCATAGTGCCGGTTCTGACCTGTAAAGCCAGGCTGTTTGGAAGATCGGGTGTTTCCATGCAGGCACGTCTGGCTTTGGAGTTCCTGCAGGGAGGCTCTTCACATAGGGCCCACTGCACATGATTGGTGGGGTTGTGAATGAGTGACTTCTCCCGAGCTGCGGAACCCCCTGCCAAGGGAGGCCAGACAAGATCCTTCGCCATTCACCTTCCACCAGCAGTCAAATACATTTTTTGTTAGACAGGTCTTTAGCATTTACGCTTACATTGGCTTTATTGGAATGTTACTGTTGTCAGCTACCTTGATTGCCTTTTTTGGCAGAAAAAAGAGGAAATGTAAAAGGACATAAAATGGGGTGTGACAGGAGAGTTTCTGGATCAGACTTCCCCAATGCAGTGCCCTCCAGATGTTTTGGGTGACTAGCACTCCAGATAATTGTAATTTTGTAATTTTATATTACAAATTACATATTACATATTATTATTATAATATGTAATGTAATTATAATATGTAATAATGTATGTATAATATATGTATGTATAATATACATACAATATATGTATGTATATATGTATATACATATACATATTGTATATACATATTGTATATACATATACATATTGTATGTATATACATACAATATATGTATGTATAATATATGTATAATAATGTAATTATAATATGTAATAATAATTACATATTACATTATATGTAATATTATTACATATTACAAATTACATATTATGTGTAAGCCATCCTGAGCACTTGTCGGAAGGGCGGGATATAAATGTTTGTAATAAATAAATGTTTGTAATAATTGGCCATGTTAGCTAGGGCTGATGGGACTTGAAGGCCAATGCTTCTGGAGGCCACTGGTTTAGCAAAAACTGTTATATATAATCTGGGCTTATTTACCAGTAACTTTGACCAGTATATGAAGCCATCTTATTTCTTATTTCTTCTCATGGAAGTCCTAAAGGAATACCTGAGCAATTTTCAGAACAGACTGCTTCTCTGTGTGGGAGGATAGCCTATGGACCATCCTTATCCCCCTACATCATGTCCTCAGTGATTGAATGGCATTGGAGGGTGGGCAGAGTTTGGGAACAAAAGTCCCTCAACAAAGAAGGGTAGTGGCCTGCAAAGAAAAACTGAGCCTCTTGGGCATGGCATGTGGTCTTTGAAATCTGATGCGTTTTCCCTTGCTTTCAAGGATTATGACCTCTGCATTAACTGCTACAACACCAAGAGCCACGAACACAAGATGGTGAAGTGGGGCCTGGGCCTGGATGACGACAGCGGCAGTCAAGGCGAGCAGCAGTCGAAGAGTCCCCAAGAATCCCGGCGCCTCAGCATCCAGCGCTGCATCCAGTCCTTGGTGCACGCATGCCAGTGCCGCAACGCCAACTGTTCACTGCCGTCCTGCCAGAAGATGAAGCGGGTTGTCCAGCACACCAAGGGCTGTAAGCGGAAGACTAATGGAGGCTGCCCAGTCTGCAAGCAGCTAATCGCCTTGTGCTGCTACCATGCCAAGCACTGCCAAGAGAACAAATGCCCGGTGCCCTTCTGTCTCAACATCAAACACAAGCTCCGGCAGCAGCAGATCCAGCACCGACTGCAACAAGCGCAGTTGATCCGCCGCAGGATGGCCACCATGACCACCCGAAATGTGCCTCAGCAAAGTTTGCCTTCTCCTACCTCAGCAACGCCCGGGACCCCCACACAGCAGCCAAGCACCCCGCAGACCCCACAACCCCCACCTCAGCCTTCCCCTGTAAACATGTCACCAGCTGGCTTCCCTAGTGTAGCAAGAACTCAAGCACCTCCTCCCCTTTCCACAGGCAAGCCTGCCACACAGGTGGCTGCACCGCCCCCACCTGCCCAGCCTCCCCCAGGAGCCGTGGAAGCTGCGCGACAAATTGAAATAGAAGCTGCGCAGCAGCAGCAGCAGCAGCAGCAGCAGCAGCAGCAGCAGCAGCAGCTCTACCGGGTCAACAGCAATGGCTTGCCTCCTAGCCGAACGAGCATGGTGAGTCCAACAGTAGGAGCAGTGAACCCCATGCAACAGGTTAGCATGAATGTCCCCCGGCCCAACTCTGTGAGTGGCCCAGTGATGCCCTCCCTGCAGCCAGGGCCATGGCAGTCACCTCCTATGCCAACCCAGCAACCACCCCTACAGCCAGGAATGGCAAGACCAGTTCTGCCAATGCCAGCCCAGCAAGCTGTGGCCGGTCCAAGAATGCCAGGGGTGCAACAGTCACCCCGTAACGTCCTCCCCAATGCTTTGCAGGAGTTACTACGGACCTTGAAATCACCCAGTTCCCCTCAGCAGCAGCAGCAGGTGCTCAATATTCTGAAATCCAACCCTCAACTCATGGCAGCTTTTATAAAGCAGAGAACAGCCAAATACGTAGCAAACCAGCCTGGCCTACAGCAGCCCCAGCCTGGCCTGCAGCAGCAGCCCCCGCCCCCTCCCGCAGGGCTGCATGCGCAGTCTGGCTTGCCGAACATGAGTGCAATGCAGGCAGGTGTCCAACGGCCAGGCGTTCCTCCCCAGCAGCCAGGACTGGGAAGCTTGAACACAGCACAGGGCCAGCCCATCAATATCATGAACCCAGCTCACAGCCCTAGCATAGCCAGCATGAGCCCCCAGTACAGAGAGATCCTACGAAGGCAGTTACTGCAGCAGCAAGGAGGTGCTGCGATGGCAGCTCACAATCAGTTCCAGCAGCCTCCAGGTCCTGGTGGCTATTCACAAGCCATGCAGCAGCAGCAGCAGCAGCAGCAGCAGCAGCAGCAGCAGCAGCGGATGCAACAGCAGCATCTCTCCATCCAAGCAGGAGCCATGGGCCAAATGGCTCAAATGGGACAGCTGAATCCAATGGCACAGCCTGGGATGGGGCCAGACAGCAGCCCCAGCATCCAGCAAGCTCTGCAGCAGCGGATCCTGCAGCAGCAGCAGCAGCAGCAGCAGCAGCAGCAGCAGCAGCAGCAGCAGCAAGTGAAGCAGCAGATGGGATCTCCCAGCCAGGCCAATCCCATGAGCCCTCAGCAGCATCTGCTCTCAGGACAACCCCCAGCACCGCACCTCCCTGCACAACAGATGAGTGCCTCTCTCAGCAGCCAAGTGCGGTCACCAGCACCTGTCCAGTCCCCGAGGCCTCAATCCCAGCCTCCACGTTCCAGCCCTTCCCCCCGAATACAGCCCCAGCCTTCTCCTCACCATGCCTCACCCCAGACTGGTTCCCCCCACCCAGGCCTTGCTGTTACTATGGCCGGCTCCATGGACCAGGGGCACCTGGGCAACCCTGAGCAGAGTGCAATGCTTCCGCAGCTCAACCCCCCAAACAGGAACGTGTTACCGAATGAGTTATCCTTGGTTGGCGACACTACAGGAGGAGACACACTAGAAAAGTTTGTGGAGGGCTTGTAGCATTGCGGGGACATCGCTTCAGTCCCTCTCATGTTCCTGGACATTTTGTACTGAAAACACAGACCTCTAGCTTGAGCTAAACCCTACGTGGGACTGGTTCGTCCTACATACATGGAAGGATGAATTGCTGTTTAAAAACAAAAACAAAGAATATATATTTTTTGTTAAAACCAGCCAGATGTAGTTAAACTATCTGGTCTCCCCCCCTCCCCCCCCTTTTGTTGTTGTTCTCGTTGTGGGTTGTTTTGGGGGGGATTTGTTGCTGTTGTTGCTGTTTTTTGTTTTGTTTTTTTAGTTTTGTTGTTACTGTTGATTTTGCTTTTTTAAAGGGGAAAACAAGTCCATTATATCCCTATTTTTATTTGTACTTTCAAGACTAAACATTTGAGTTTAACAAAGAAGAAAAATAATATTCAGAAACTGTTTCCTGAAATAATGCGGTGTTCTAATGTATCCTGCTAACTTTCTGACATTTGGCAGAAAGATTTTTTTTTCCTATTCTATACCGAACTCTGCAGGTATCTGAAGTATTATTACCCCTGGAAAAATAGGAATTGACTCTTGCACACACAAACACATGTTGCAGATGTAGAGATTGTTGCTTTGTTCCTCTGATTAACTGGTTTTAGATTTTCAGAACAAGAAACAAAACTAAAAAACAGGGATGATCACTTCTTAGGCCATGCTAATTTTAACAGGGAAGAAGCGTATTCTTTTCTTTAATCTTTGATGTGAAACTTGAAATAAGGAAAAGCAATTATAGTGTAAATCATGCAAGCTCTATAATTACTATAAATATGAAAGAAATTCAAGATTCAATCACTGTATAGAATGGGGGGAAAACAAACTCATTTCTTACTTCTATAGCATATTGTTAAATAAACTGTGTGCAACAGACAAAAAAGGGTGGTCCTTCTTGAATTCATGTACATGGTATTAACTTAGTGTTTGGAATTTTTGTTATGAAAAATGCTGTTTTCAACATTGTATTTGGACTATGCATGTCTTTTTCCATTGTATATAAAGTATTGCTTAAAAGTGATATAAATTACTGAAATTTTTAACATGTATTCTGTTCTTTAACATCCATGTAAGAATGTTTAAAGTTCTACATTAACACACACACATGGCCATATGATCATCTTCTTTAAAACATAGCTAATGATTTGTTCAGTGTACAGACCCAGCCAATAATGGGTCCTTGGTATAGGCTTATCTAGCCTATAGGGAGTGTGTGCATGCATGACGTGTCTATGAATGGATAAAGGAAGTTATTCCCCACTGGTTCACTATTTGGAGAAACCAATTTATCAGCATTAGCAGGGCTATCGTATACCATTTGCTTGTTAAAAGAATGTAGTGAAAGATCACTAATTGGAGTTAAGGTAGTTAAGTGTTTTCCTAAGACTAAAGCAAGATAGAGACTTTGCTAAGAAATCCAACATCAGAATTGGCTTTCTGGTAAGTAATTGGAAAGAAATGATACACCTGTGTGCCCTCTTCTCGCCACTCTTTCTGGGCAGGGCAGCACCGCTCTTAAATTTTGCTTTAGTTTTCCTCCCACCTGCCATCCTCCAGGCATGTTAGCACTATTACTTCTCATGCAAGGTAGAATAACAGGGTTGTGATCCGATACATCTGGCGGACCTCAGGTTCAGAGTAAGGTTCAAGTTAAGATGGTGTTCTGTTCTGAAAACCAAATTACAATTTTATTTGAAAGAAAATGAGATGGTGAGGATTTCTCCACTCCAAACAAACTGGCTGCTGTTGCTGCATGGAGCATCTGACTTGTTTCGGGGAAAGCGCTTTCATTAATGGTTTTGCTGCAGAGTAATGTGGGGGGAGTGGAAACACGTTTCTCCAAACTCTGGAAAGAGTAGCGTAACCTCTCTCAAATGCCAAGTTGCAGTTGTTCAGTGCTTCAACATCTCACATCTGACTGACTGCTTTGGGTCCTCTTCCTTACAGTCATCCTCGGCATGCAAGATGTCCGGTCTGGGCTTTGTTCAGTGGATATAAAGAAATATCTAAAAGAAAAGGATGGACAGCTCCATTGCTGTGTCACATTGCATTCTTAGAAGGAAAACAAAAAACTCATTTGCAATCAAGAAGAAACTTGAAAGCTATTGGTAGTTCTCATAAAGCTGGTAAAAATGCTTGAATGGTTCCAGTAGCTTAGTATTAGAGTAGAACTTGGTGAGTATGTCCAAATTCTTCCCACTGCCTTCCCTTCTCAATTGGGTGACTAAAGGCGTGGAGGCAGGGCAGTCAAGATAGTCTTGGAGCAGCTGGCTGCCCTGTTGCCAAGCAGGTTGTGTATACAAAATACCTGTCCCAGCTCCAAAGCATCCAGCTGGGCTTGTGCGTGGCTGCAAAAAGGGGAGTCTGACGTAGCACTGACCAACCTGCAGCAGCACAGCTGTCTTGCCACCGCAGCCAAATGTGAACCACCGCGTACAGGCCGCTACTGATAGAGAGGGCTCAGACAAGTCACTGACGGAAAGCAGGGCTATCCGAAGGCACTGGATCTTGCATTAGAAAGCTGCTAGTTCTCCTTTCTGGATGTGATCTCAAGTCTACAATGGAGTGCAAAGAAAAGAACTCTGAAATGGCCATTGGATCATACAACTTCACCAAACTGGACAGGATGGAATAGGCCAAGCAACTGCACAATGGAAGGAAGGAAAGAAAAAATGGCTATATATACCATTCCCACTTGTGTTTTGGTTCTCAGACATTTAGAATTTAGTTTCAGGCAATTAAATAGATGCTTGTGCTGTATACTCTTACTTGCAAACTTGCTTGCTATGCCTAGCTATTTAAATTACAGAAATCTCTTTAAATCCAGGCTACTTCCTGCTCTTAAATAGGCATGCACAGAAATAAATTGCTTATTCATGAACGAAAGGGAAAAGCAGTCAAATGGAGTTGGGCTAAGCAAGGCACAATTGTTCTCACCGGGAAAACTCCCAGTGGATGGCTATGGAAGAGCAGAATTGTAGATGTGCTCATTTCTCAGAGTATACTTCAAGAGCAGATAGAACACGAGTTCTTGTATGCATCTCCATCTCTCATGAAGACTGGCTGTGTTAGTTTCTGCCCTGAAACCTAAAGGAGCTGTTGGTTTCTGGCTACCTCAGCACAAACTTTGAACCCCCACATCAACCTTGAAAGCATGTTTATTGTAGAGTCAGCTGTCAAACTCACCGGTATAAAACTAGCATGAAAGAACTATATGGAGACAGAGAAAGGCTGGGCCTTGGAAAACAAGGTAATACAGCTACACTTTGCACACAAACCGAAGGAATCCAGAGGGCTCTGCCCCTTGTGATCCAGCTGCTCCTGACCAAGGAAAAGGGGGTTTCCTCCCACAATAAAGCTCAGCTCAGAAGGATTAGAACTCAAAAGCTCCACTCCCACAGAGAAATTGATGAGGGCAAGAGTCATAACCATATACTCCCTGACCATGACTTCACCATATATTCTCCCATGAGACATGTGATCTTAACCAAAGCAAAAAAGATAAAAAAGACAAGCAGCTGCATGGTCAAATGAAGAAGAAAACACAACCCTGTAGAAAAGGCTCAGCACCGCTGCCGCCCTTTTCTCTTGGTCCCATGACGGTGTTGCTTCTCTCGGCGGGCTTCTGCCGTAGTAAAGGTAATGCAAAGCGCATCGAGGAAGTCCAGCAACTTGCCCAGTGCAATCCCGATGCCGTTTTGCTTCAGTTCTGCCTGCAGCACAGCCAGTTCAATGGGCTGGTACATCAAGATTTGGCGGAGGAAAGCTGGCTTGGAACGCAGATAGCACTGCAAGGCAGCCAGCTTCAGTGTCTCACAAGCCGCAGCCTGAGAGACAGGGAGATGCTCCTGCTCTGCCAGCACCAGAGAGCTGCTCTCAAAGCCAGTGGATGAAGAACTATGAGAAAGAGGGAGGAAAAGACATGAGGATGCCAGATACGCCCTTCCTTTTGCAAAATCTCATGGCATACAGTGCAGGTCAGGTCACAGGCCCGAATGTGACCAGATCTAGGTCTCTGTAGTCCAGACAGGAGGCTCAGTGGGAATCCCACAAACAGAAACAGGTGTGGTGGGAATAAATAGCAACCCTCCCACTCTACAGAGGTGCCAGGAGGGAAGGTACCTGAGCCTAGTGTTTTGTTAACCTTCAACTTGTCAGTGACATCAAGAACTACATCTCTAGTGCCATTATTTGCCCGTTTCTCAGACTTTTCTCTCGAAACTATGAAGTCAGGCACAAATACGAATTATGAAGCAACTGCAAAAGTTTATCTACAATCTGTTTTCTTTTACATTCCTTTAGTTCCTTTCTCAACTAAAAATTCAACCATCACCCCCAGTTAGTTTTCTGCTGCTGAACTAAATGCTATCCCCACTCGGTTAGTTGCTGGAAAAATCCTCCTTCTCAAAGTCCTTTTCCACATCCCTTATCATCCACTTGCATTTCCTAAAGGAAGCCTTATTCTCGCTAATGGCTTCCTCGGCACTGCTTTTCAACCGTGCTGGCGACTTGCTGGATCTAGTCCTACTCTTCCTAAGTTGTGGTATGCATTCCAGCTGAGCTTCTAAATAATGTGTTCTTTGTCACCTTTAAGCATTTCAATGAAATGCAGCCCTCTGGACTCCTTTCTATTTTTCCCCCCACTAATACTCTCATTTTAGGTAACTGCCCTTATTTTAATTCAAATGTAACTAGGTGACTTTCCATGGCTATTTTTCACTTACATGTCAGTTACATCTGACCATAATCGAACTGCAGTCACTGTGTCCAATCAGTTCCACAACACTTAACGTCTCATACCAGGCCCAGGACACTGCCCCTCTGGTCACCTCCCGGACTTTCTATAGGGCAACGAGACACAACCCCGTCCTGAGCTAACACATTCTTCATGAGCACAAGTGAAGCCACCCATTAATGCCACATTCCTCTCATTTTAAAGCCCTCCTGCATTTCATTCGTCGACCCAACCTCTCCCTGACAATTTTGGCCAGGGGAACAATAGCAACATATTCATGTAACTTGAATTCCATCTTTCAGGCGAGAAAGATGCTGTTGTCTGTTGTATATGGCTGCTTTGTTTGTGGTTGCTTTTTTTTGTAAGCCATCCAGAAACTTTAGTATTGGATGGCATATAAAAACTTAAAATAAATAAATACAATACAATACATGTAATGACAATTGTCCAGGCCTAAACGCCTTTTCATGTTTTGCATTCTTACCCACAGCCTTGAATAATCACACCACTATGATTATGCAGAAGACCACATTCTTCAGGTTAGAGCAATTGCAGAAGGTGTCTTTCTGGGCACAGCCCTTGGATTGCCACAGAGCGGACTTTTCCTTAGCACAGACTCCATGTAGCCCTGGCTACAGGTGGCTGTTTAAAGGAAGTCAGGCTAGAATGAACAAAGTACCACTCCAAAGCCAGCTTTTACCTCTGTGATGTTACAGAAGCTTCACTGTCGGTGACTGAGGACCCAGTAGACTCCTGAGAAGCCATGGGGGACAGGCGGCAGCTGTCTCTGACAGCAAATGCAGCTGCAGGCAAATCTGGGCTCTTTGGCTGCCCAGATCCAGCCCCTGATGGTTCCACCACGTGCCCAGACCTCTGATCACCTCCTCCTCCAGAAGGATCCGAGTTGCTCCCTGGAAACATTTGCTGAAATCTTGGTAACTGCTTCTGATGGGTGCTGGAAGCCTCTGTCCTGGACTCAGTTGTCGATGGGTTGTGGGATCGAGGAGGCTGGGGAGACACTGCCTGGGCCGTGCAATCAGCTCCCACCTTTGAGTGAGTATAGCGAAATATTTCCTTCAGCTTTAATACCATCTGCCGCTTTGGGAGTGGCCGGACTCCAAACCTAGGAAAACAGAAAAGGTCAACCCAGGCCACTGCCACCCACCCATTTCCTCCTCTTGAGTTTTTACGAGGACCCTGGTTTCCACCCTGCCTGCACCCACCTCCTCAGCTCCTTCTTCAACTTGGGGGTCTCCATAATGGAGTAAGAGGGTGTCAGAGGAGTCCAGCAGGCAAGATCTGCAGCAGAACAGGTCAAGTCAAGCGCATGAGCACCCAGGGGAACAGCCTACCTACCCAGAGGGATGCACAGTCTGTGTTCTCAGCAGCAAAGGTATCCAAGAGCAATTGCAGAGAAGAAAGCTGTGCCAGCAGAGGAGGCCTTACAGTGTCAAATGCAAAGCTGAATTTCCCTGAATTTCTAACACACATGAAAACGCAACAAAAAGCTACCAGAGTCCTAGGGACACGGGCATGAGGGCCAGGACAATGGTTCCTGTGGTTTCGTGTCACGGCGCCCCACCCCCAGCCTGGCAGGTCTCCCAGGAACCAGAGACGATGGTTCTACGCAAAACAAGTGCAAGGAGCCAGCAGCCGCCCCCAGAGAGTGGCCTGGAAGCAGGCAAGGCCCAGTCCACATGCAGGCGCCACGGTGCGATCTTGCCAGTGTGGTGAGGGGCTCGACTCAAACTCCGCTGCCAGTTCTTGGCCCGGTTCCCAAGGATATGAGTACCGACATACAGAGAGTGGTCAATACCGCTCACCACTCTTATGCCCTCCCCTCCCTGCCCCTCCTCTTCCCCGGAACCCCCCACCAGTCAGGCCGGTGACTTACCACATGCCGCCTCACCGGCAGGCTCCAAAGCAGGCAGCTTCCGAGCGGCAGGGCGTGCAGCCTGGCTGCTGTTCAAGTCCTCAGCCCACTCCTGCTGACAGGGCGTGCGCTCCACGGAAGTGGCCACCCCAGAGCCGGAGCTGGCTGCCCCGCCGGCCGCAGCCGGGCCCACCACCCAAGGATGTCCTTCTGTCTTCCGTCTACTCATTTGCAGAGCACCACCCAATGAGCTTCTGGCCCCCGCCAGTTCCACAAAGGGCAAAAAGCCGCCAACAACCTCCTCCCAGCTGGGCAGGCCTGCCCCTGACACGGCGGTGCCCGCCGGGCAAGGCAGGGCTGCTTCCTGCTCCTCTTCGCTGTCATCCAGCACCACCACCTCAGGGGGTGGCCAAGACGGGCTGCAGCCAGGCCAGCGGGTGGCCGAGCGTGGTGGAAAGGGCCGGTTGCGCAGGGGGGGCGAGCTCTGTGCAGGGGGCCTCTCCTGGAGAAAGCGCAGCCACTGTGCCTTGGACTGAGGCCTCGAGCTGGGCACTGCCCGCTCCCTGCTTAGTGGCGGGGTGTCCGGCACCAGCAGCATTCCTCCTTTGCTGCAGGTGTCTTCCTCTGGGCTGCTGCTCCACCCCCAGAGTCCTGAGCTTTGGGCCTGAGGACTGCCAGCCTCATCCCCAACGGGCACTGCGAGCCCAGGAGCCCCCATTCCCTGGAGCGGGAGGGGAGACAGACCCTGCTTGCCTGAGCAACCCACCCCTGAGCCCCGCCGACGCTTGCAGGCTCCCAGCCGCAGCCCATCCAGGCCTGGGCACACCTCCTCCTTCGGCTCCACCTCCTCATCAGAATCCAGTACCACAATGAGGTTGGCCTCCAAATGCCCCAAGGAACGGGGCCGATAGAGGGGCCTCTCTGCACTGCTGCCCAGAACCCCATCACTCCTCTCGGCCCCTTCCTGCTCACTGGCCTCAACAGAAGAGCGCCTCCCAGTAGATGGCAGCTGTGATGCAGATGCATGCAAAGAACAGGTGTGGGAGGGGGGGCTGGGGGGGGACAGCAGGGGTGAGCTACCCAGAGGCAGAACAGGCGCGTGCGGGTTCCTGGAAAGCATCCCCAGTGCTCGCTGGGAGCCCTCTGGGGAGCCCTGAAGAGGGCTGGGAGGGTGTCCAGTAGGAGTGTCTTGGAGGGCTGGGCCAGCCCTTCGCTCCCCGGCACCAGGGCTCCCAGGGGATCCCTCCAGCGTCACAGAAGCCAGACTCTCCGGGAGTGCCGGGCAATCATCCTTTTCAGACACCTCAGCCAGCCCAAGGACGACCTCTGCTGGGGACAATCTAGCAGCTGCTCCCAGAGACCTCCCTTCCTTGGCGTTTGTCCATGCTGCCAGAGGAAGCCTTCTCCGCATTCCTTCACCACTGGCATCACCGGGTGCATCTCGGGTTCTCCCTCCTTTGCATTCCCTTCTGGAACCCGTTGGTGTGGCTTTCTCCAGGCCTGTCCTTGGGCAGGACTCTCCAGGCACCGGCTGACTCGCCCCTTGCCGCTGCCCTGTCCCACCTGGAACGGCCGCGCGCTGTGTGACAGCAAACCCATAGATCTCCTCGAGTTCAGGCTCGCTCACAAGATCCCTGGTGGAGTTTGCATTGTCTGGGTGGATGCCGTTCGACAAAGCGCCGTCTTCCTCATCCTGCCACATGGACCGCAAGAGTTCCTCAAAGGTCTCTGCCCTGTCCTTTTCTTCCGTGGTATCTTCCTCCTCCTCTTCTCCTGCAGTCAACGCCAGACCAGACTGACCATGACACAAAGCAGCCAGCTCCCTTACTCCAAACCTGCAACGGCACAGGTGCACACGGCACAGTTCTCTATTATTCTACCACCGCCCAGAAAAAAGGGACTGCCTCAAGCTCTTTGCAACCATGGCTGCCGCGGGGCCAGCCTGCCTGCCTGCCAAGGGCAGCTTGAAGGAAACAACCTGGAGCAGCCACACACACACCTGGCAGCCAGAGCAGCCACATCTGGCAACAGACAGTGAGGAATGGCATGGTCGGCGGCATAGAGGTAATTCAAGAACGCCTGCACAGCTTCCGCCCGGGCCTCTCTCAGCAGCACACGGCAGGTTGCTGCACCCCCATCTTCAGCCACGGTGAAACCCTGGCTGTCAACCTGGCAAGGGAAGGGAAAGGAAGACAAATCACTGGGGCAACAGAAGCACAGCAGGCCGAAGCTGACTCCCCAGAGCAGAGACCACTTGCCTTGCCAGCTACTCTGGGTTGTAGTCCCTGCTCCGCCATGGAGCCGACTGGGTGGCTTTGGGCCAGTCACAGACTCTTAGCACAACCTACCCCACTAGGGATAAGAGTGAAAGCAGGAAGAGACGTATAGAATTATGCCTCTTTAAATTCTAAGAGAAACAGCAGGATACAAAGAAATGTGTCCACCCCACAAGTATGTCTAGACACACCCATGTATCACCTTACCATTTCCAGCAGCTGAGGGCACCGTGCGTACAGCACAAACGCATGGGCATAGAACAGCTCCCCGCTGTCCACCTGGAACTGGACGTCACTCAGGTGAGGGTTGTTGACCATTCCCCTGAAGGCAGCAGCTAACAAACCAAGCGGGACCTAGGAGAGGAGGAGTCTGCCAGCAGGGCTGGTGTGGCGGAAGCGCTGACAAAAATCCACCCAGCCTCCTCCCCACAACAGTGGGCTGTATTTCCAACAAGCGGTAGCAGCAGTGGGCAGGCAAGGCTTCCAACCCCTGCTCTGTGCCCCTTCCTCGAGCAGTAACAGCTGCCTTGACACCCCAGATACCACACTTTCCCATGGGCATGAAACTGGAATTGAAACCGGAAACTATATTCTTCACTTACTTCTTGATGACAGCTTCTAGGAGGCGGCCTTTTTTCAAGACACTGCACAAGCCTGCTCTCCGGGGCTTTTCCCAGCACCAACTCTTGCTCTTAACGGAAAGAAACACACCTCAAAGAAACTGTTCAGCTACCCGCCCTAATCCAAACTGGTCCCTCCTCTCACAGATCAGTGCACGGTACCAACCCAAGGATTCCCCGGCGCCATCCCCACAGTGCTCCCAGCGCTGAAGAAAAGCCACTCGTGGAGCACCGTACGAATCCCAAGTATCTTACAACCTGGCACATTTCTGTGCAGCTCAGAACTGGCAGAAACTCATCCCTGCTGAGCCTCAGAAGCATCAGCTACACTGAGGTTAGCAAGGAACCCAAACCCCACCTGTCCAGCCAGAACAGTTAACCAGGAATGTCAAGCATCCGGCCAGCCGACCTGCAGCACAAAGCCTCACCTGCCCCCTGCAGCTGCTGAGCCTCCAGGCCCCACTGCGTGAGCGTCAGCCCTTCACTGGCCAGTTCCATGAGGTCTTCAAGTGCCGCAGCATCATTCTGGCTGCAAGCCAGCTTTTCCTTTGGCTCTCCCAAGCTGCCCAGAAGATCTCCACAGACTCTGTCTCGAAAAGGCTCAGTCTCAGCGATCACATGGTCAAACTGTGGTGATCTGACATGCCCCGAATGTGACAAACATGCGCTCAGTGCAGAACCCTGGAGAAGGAAGAAGGATCTCACTGGTGGTGTCTGGCAAGCCGGCATTTACAAGCTCAGCCGCCAACTGGGGGGCAGGAACAGACCTAAACAGACAACATGGCCAACGGAAACAGTGCTCTCTCACATGCACACGCACGGACTATACCAAAGATACCCCACTCCTCGCACAGACGTCTCCCACGATGCCCAAGAGTCCCAAGATGCTTAACGCTATTCACATACACGCGAAGATTTACACAAAATACGCGCGACTTCCCGGCAACTACACGGAAGAAGCAACCAGGCTCAGCGGCGCTAATCCAGGAACACAAACGCACCTGAGCGGCGGCCTGCGAGGCGGGGAGAGCGAAGCCCTCGGCAGAGCAGCTCCCCGGGGCGGCACGAGGCTCGGCCGAAGCGCTCAGCTCCCACAGGGATCGCCCGCGCGCGCCTCCGGGCCCGGCCAGGCGGCTGGCCGACAGCGGCGGGGTCCGTGGAAACTGGGCCGCCTCGGCTAGCAGCATCGCGGCGCGCGCCTCCTCGTCCCGGCGCGCCTCCTCCGGGTCCTGCAGCAGCAGCGGCGGCGGCGAGCGGGCGGCCCTCGCGCGGGCCCGTCTCCCTGCACC